GCGGATCACCTACCAGTCCCACCAAAACACGGACCCTAGGAAACCAGCAAATTCTCCTTGGCTTCTTGTAGGAACCGACCTCATGCCCCAATCCCCTCAGCCTGGGGTGTTTTTCAATCATATTTCATGCTTTAGGTTGCCTTAACATGGACGTATATGGACCAGAGTCAGAAAGCAACCTCAAAAGCGGCGGTCATTTAATACAGTTTTTGATCGGGAAATCCCCCATCCCTTCCCCCCCCCCCAGCCTCAGCCGCTTTCGCAAGACAGGCCCCCATCCCCCATACCCTGGGAGTACATACCCCTTGTTTTTACTGTGGTTTCCAACCCACTTTATAAGGGGTTTTTCCCTCCTCTTCAGGAGAGGGGTATGCAAATCAAGCCTCTCAGAGGTTCATTTGTCCTAGGGGAATGTAACTTCGCACCCCTGGACTCCCCTGAGCTGTGGTGTTTTTGTTGCTCCTTCCTTCAGGACGTGGAGCTGCAGAAGGACATGACGGCCATCCTGCGCTGCGCAGCCAAGGGCCACTTTCTGAGCGCCTCCGGGGGGGTGGGGGAGCCCTTCAACGTGGGCTTCTTCGCCCTCAGGCGCGGCCGAATCTGTTTTTGTTTTGCTTGTCTTGGTTGTTGTTTCCGTGTTTTGTTTGTTTGTTAGTTTCTTGTTTCCATTTATTTTTTGTTGGGGGGGGTTCCCCCTTCGGTTTTGGGTGGGTTTTAGGACGACCGATTATTTTGTTTGTTTCTTCTGTGTGTGTGTTTTTTTTTTTTTTTGGGGGGGGGGTTAGGGTTGGTTGGTTTTTTGGCTGGCTTGCTTGGGTGGTCGGCCAACTTAGCAACATGGTTATAACCCTGGTTTTGAGGGGACGATCGCAGGTACACCAGCTACAACCATGGTTATACCCTATGCTTACAAAGTTTACAAAGTTACAAGCCAGTTACAAGCAGTTACAAGCAGTTACAAAGTTTATTGAACACCCAAGCGGTTGGTTTGCGCTTGGGGTGGGTTCAGGGAAGCCTCGCAATGTGGGTGCCCGGTTTTGTGTTTCTATGTTTTATCTTTTTTTGGCGGGGTGGTTCCCGTCAAAAGAAAGCACCAAAAAAGAGGTGCCTTGTTCTTTTTCATGGGTAGTGGGGGTTTGGCTACAGGATACTTGGGGTTGGCTTAAAGATAAAGTTGGGGGGGAGCCTTCAAGAGGACGGTTTCTTGGGTTTGTTGTTGGGGGGGCCCCTTGATCTGCCATATCTGCCTTTAAAAACGGGTGTCGAGCGATTCCACCGATTCGGGGGATAAAGCGAGCGAAAGTCATGCAGGTTCTTTACCCTGACAGTCCAATTCGTACTTCATGTTTTGGAATTGTAAAACAATGCGTATCGATTGTCTCAAAAATGGGGGCAAACCTTCAATAATGCTGGGCTTCCTGTTGGTTTAACCAACCGAGACCCCGTTCCCCTGGAGGACAGCAACATATTGGAGAAAAGTTTTGGGGCATTTTCACGGGGCCAGGATTTGTCCTCTGGAATGAGTTAACCATCGGGGTTTATCAATGGCTTTCAACCAGGGTCGCAGCCCTGCCAAGATAGTGGCAAGCCCATAAGGGAACCCTTTTGCCATGTGCGGGGCCAGTTAACAAGCAAACACCCCGTATTTGCAGGCATATCCAACGGGCATCTCATTTGACTTGGATCCGGAGCTCTCTTGTCTTGGGTTGTATCATCCTGCCTGTCTCCGACCATGCTGGGGATGAATGCATGCCACATCGTCCCCTCAAGCAATTAGGTCGAGGATTCTAGCTATACGGGCCTCCGTGTGAGGGGTGTCCTTTGCCTGAGGGATCGATGATTTTTTGCTGGAACTCCCGTTACTCGGCAACCTGGTTGCAGCTTGGCCCGCTAGCTGGCCTAGAAGGGCTTTCTCCAAGCCATTTCCGGTGGATCGCTCCATTGTTTGCATGTGGTTGGTTCAGTGCAGGCAGGTGGTTACACCTGGGAGAAGACACGTACCTTAGGCAACCTATCGATCCCCGTTGGTCAACATGCGGAATGAGTCCAACGCCCCCCCCTGCCGAGGCAGAAGCCACAACTTGGTGACTGCGTGGATTGTTGGGCCTCCAAAATGGTGATTGCCTTGGTGGATTTCTTGGGTACCAACTCAAGCAATTGGCCTCCAAAATGGTGGTTCTCCTGGTGGATTTCTTTAAAACCCACCCCAAAGATGGGGTACCAACCAAACAAAACACTTCCGACAAGCCACCCACAGGGAACCCAAAAAAAGCCAGCCATGGGATTCCTCCAGGCCAGACCAGCGGCTCCTAAGAGCTGCCGAGTTCTTCGGGGGCAACGTGAGCTTTTCGGTGGAGAGCGGATGGGGCAACTCAGCAAATTGTCGTTTTCGTTGCGACCTGTGGTGCCCAGACGTGTCATTATTGTTGTTGATTGCCAGTCGATGTTGTAGCTGTTGAATTTCGATTGGTTTCTTAGAAAAACGTGCGCTTGGCGTTGAAAACCACGCCCACTACCACCAACACAACATGCGAGTGGTTGTTTTCCCCGTGGCCACTGGGTCTGGGCTTAAGTTCGGATCCGGAGGGTTATGCTAAAGTGAATCAGCCCCCGACTAGTCAGAATCAAGTACGGTCCCCCGGATGAATCCAAAAGTTGACAGTTCTCTTTTGGGGCTGCACGGTTTTAGTCCAGAGACGGGACTTCCCGAACTATGGCTATAGCTTCCAGTCCTGGGCAGAATTCTACATGGTCCGACTGGACAACCTTGGGCATTTCAAAGCACCTACCCTTCCACCCACTAACATGGAAGTAAGTTGGTCTTTCCTCGATGTTCTTTCCCTATTTGTGTGCCTGTCCAACCTTCTATCCATCTATGCAGCTCAATATTTACCCACCTATTTGTTTCATCAGCTCTATTCTAGTCTATTTACCCACCAATTTGTTTAATCTGCTCTATTCCATCTATACGTCTCAATGTTTACCTCCCTGCGTGTTTGATCTATTCTAACCGAATCTAATCCTTTTCTGTTTTGTCTTCATGTGGGTGTGGCTCAAAATTAAACAGGAGAGGCAAACCGCAGGTTTTGGTCCATGTTTCCACTTTCCAGGGCAACCCATTTTGGTACCGAGCCAAGCTTTTCCGTGAGTGACAGCGCCTTGCAGTATACAGACTGTTGCTGCTTTTGGGCCCTGACCCCCCCCTAACAAGAAAACGCCGCGCACTTGGTTGACTGAGCGAGTCGCAAAGACAAAGACCGTTTTTTTTTGAGCCACGGCCATGTTGGCTTTCAGTAGTCGTCCCCCGCTGAAGGCAACTGCGCCTTCCTGCCCTCGGGCTCGAAGTTTGTGGGCGCGGAGTGCGGCCAGGGCTTCTTCCACACCTTGCCCCTCGGAGTTCGGGCAAGGGAGATTGGGTCCAGGGGAGGAGCGTGGTTGTTGTTCTCAGCTGCCTAGCGGATTTCGCCAAATGGACATAACTCCAAATGGACGTACCCCAAAGTCAGTTTTTCCAGACTCTCTGTTGCCCAGTGGGCTCCGCCATTGTTTTTCAACTTTTCTTTGGGAAGGGTTCCCCTTGAAACTCAAGCAATCAAAAAGCGATGCCGATTTGTTTTTTCCCATGCAATCCACGAAGCATCTGCGTTTCTTCCTGTTTTGGGGATTCACGCTTGGCAAACTCCCCACCCCCCCCCGCCCCCGCCCCCAATTTGGTGGAGTTTTCTTTGGGTTTCCCTGAGCAGCCAGCCAACAACGTGGTGCCGTTTGAACAAGCACACCTCTAGGGGATACCTTCCCCATTCCTTCTTTCTAGAAAACCTCCGGAAACTGAGGGAAAACGGCCGGTTTTTGGAAAGAACAATGGTTGGAATCAACCCCTAGAACACCCAATTTCTACTCAGACCGAATGTGCAGTTGTTTGGTTCATGATTAGTGGGTTAGGTGAGCACCTTAGACACGCAGAGCGCAGAGGCAAACAAGTCACGCAGACACCAAAGCGAGAACAATGAAACCAGACACGCAAGAGAGCAACACAAACAAGAGCAATTTGTTGCAGACCTTTCTCATCACTTCCTTTGGTTCTTTGCTGCTTTGGTTCGGTGCGTAATTTGTTGTGTTGTTGATTTGTTGATTTGGTTGTTGTTTTAGATACTGTCTTGTTAAATGTTGCGTTGCTTCATTATTTCTTTGTGTTGCCGCCATCACGGACCTTGTGAATCTACAGGGCCCGGTGTGGCCGTTTGGCATACTTCAATTCAATCGGGCCTTTGGCTTGTCCAGAAATAGACCGCCAACCCCCCCTATGAGTTTTTGCCCTGAGGTTTTACAAGGACTGCAAGGAGGTCCGGAAGGCGCGTGTGGGCACAGGGCCCCTAAGCCACTTTTGGTTTTTTTGGTTGGTTGGTTGGTTGGCTGGGTGGCTGGCTGGTTGGTGGATTGGCTAGCTGGCTGGGTCCTGTGAAATCGAGGAATCGCCCCACTTCAGGTAACCAATGTCGGTGGTTCCCATTGGGAACTGGATTTGGGCTTGAAGCCTTGGTTCTTGTAGAGGGTAAATTGGGGCCTGGAAAAACAGAAGCGCATTTGTTAGGGAAGAAATAGCAGAAACAGTCCCATTTATATTTCACAGCAACTGGGTTGTATCCCTGGGGACGGAGGACGAAAACAACAGGTTATTACTCCAATTCCAGTGTGGACTGGACGATGGAGAGAAACTAGTGGCAAGGGCATGTAGAAAGGCACTCAGTCATTTGCAGCAGCCACCCCGGAACACCAAACCACAAATCCAAACCACCAATTAGTGGGAAGCTGACCAGTTGTGTGCCAATGGCGCGATTCGGGTTTTTGTGTCCTGTCATAAGAATGGGAGCCGAAGAGGCATCACAGAAATGGGACAAACAAATCACAGCCACTCCACATCTTCACTGTTCTTGGCAAGCTGGCGGTTCTTTGGCTCAGTAGGCGGCTGCAAACACCAAGACCCCCAGTGCCCTTTCACCCTTCTTTGGGGGAGGGTTCCCTTACTAAAATAGACTACAGAAAAAAACAAGTTGGTACCCTTTTGCGGGCTGTGAAGATAGGCATTTTTCTTCCAGTAGTTTGCGACCGCACCAGCGCGACAACCACTGACTGGCATGGAACCCCACGAAACGTCCCAGTCGCCGTAGCTCAGGCAATGCACCAACGGAAACCCATGGTTAAAGCAAACCATTGCTTCAAAAGTGGCTGGAAGGTGGTCATGAGAATATCTTGCTTGTGCAAAACAAAAAATAATAAATAATATGTTCTTTTTTAAATTAAAAAAGACAAACTATAGTGCATGTGCATTAAACACGTTTTTCAACTGGTGGGTCTATGTATGCATTGGGGTTCACGCGGTTCGGACTGCCCTTCACCCCACACCTGCCTTCCCAGTCCAAATGCACTGCAGATTGGGATCGGGCCTGGAAAGTACCATTTCCAGTTGTTGAATTCGGGGTATGTTTCTTTGGGTCGCCTTTTTGAGGTTGGACCCCCCCAGTTGGCCGCGAATCATGCAAGAGACTCCCCTTCTTGCTGGACCCGGGAATCATGCGAGGACACCCTCCCCCATTGGACCCGAGAATCACGCGAGCCCCCCCCCTTTTGAAACCTAGCAACAGGGGTACCAACTTGCACACCGCCCATTGCCGGAGGTTTTTCTCGCCATCGGTTCAGGCCTTAGTGGCTGCCGGACTGCGGGACGAGGATGGAAAGGCGCGGTTGCCGCTGACCGCTGCGATGGTGGACCGGTGCATCTGGAATTATCAGAACGACGGGGACTGCGGAAACCCAAAGTTCAACTGCAGTACCCCGGCACGGATGGGATGCAGCACTCGGTCAAGCGGCGCACTGACTGGAATGTACGTAAGTCAAGTAGGGAGAAGGGTGTTGGTTTACATACCGCCCTTCTTGTGGGCCGATGGTTTATGTGAAACTAGGTTTCAGGGTTCCAAGAGGAGTTGCCCCCCACCACTGCTCCAGCTGGGGTAGTGTGTCCACTCAAGCTGGCTCAGCTGGCTGGCTGGTTTGCGCCAAGTAGACACACATCAAGTTGATTGGCGCTGTTGCTTTGCGCTTGGGCTTCTTCAATAGTACCTGCTTCCAGTGTTTTGTTTAAGCTACCAAACTCACGCCCTGAGTTCCTGGACTTCATACGTGTTGCCAGGACCATTTTGGTACATGCAATCAGCTTGGTTACTCTTTGTTAACAATCCACTCAGGTGAACAAAGGTATACATACATATATTGTATGTACACAAATACCTTTGGCCATTTTCCAGCTAGGTGTCATCCGGGTGCATCACAAGCCCACGCACAAGCCGGAGAACGACCGGCTCTGCGGGAAGCTGAAGCACCACAAGGGCGGCTGGACCGGGGAGAAAAGCGCCCCCTTTCCCGAGCCGGAGCCGATCAAGATGCAGAAGGGCAGCAGCAGCTGTGAGAATAAGTGCCTGGATGTGGCTTGCCAGCAGAAGCAAAACTCACTTCCTGAGTTCATGAACTTTAAACTTTTGGGGCTGGACCATTTTAGTGGTAAATGTAAGGTTGGACTTTTTTGGGGCCATCCTCTCAGCAAGTGAGAAAAGCAGGAACAGCCAAACATGAAAACAAATAAGGGCCAGAAATCGGTGCCTCAATAGTGTCCTTCCTACAGTTTGGCTTCAAGGCAGACTGCAACGCAATTCTGGTTGTGTAGGCCCGTGCGATAGGGCTGTCCCTGATTTTTTTGTGGGTGAAGGGGCAGTATCTCTAATAACTGGTGCTTGTAGCAGGGCACTGGCTGAGCCGCATCCAATTGTTGGATATTGGGAAGGCTTCCCAATGCCCAATTCACGCTTTCTGCCAGGCCCCCCGCGGATTACTTTCTGGGGGGCTTAATAAATCAGGGTCGATATTATCCCCTACATCATCTGGTGCTTGCAGGGAGAGAGAGAGAGAGAGAGAAAGAAAGAAAGAAAGAAAGACCTAGGTTCCCCAGTAGTGCCCTTTTACCCTTTTTTGGGAGAGGGTTCCCCTACTAAAATAGACTACAGATAAAAGGGTACCCTTCTTCCAACCTCTCAAATCTGGAGAACCTAGAGACAGACAAAAAGAAAGGCAGAGAGTCCTCTGAATTCGACTGGGCCCGACCCGGTAGGGCGGGATTGGATCAGATGCACATGGACAAATTCCACTTCGCACCCCGCTGGTTTGAGCCCAACATGCCTCGGGTTTTATGTCTCCCAACATTTCATATCTGTTGTTCATCAACCAATGTTTTTTTTTTTTTTTTTTTTTTTGTTTTTTTTTTTTCTCGGAAGAGGCCGAAGCAAGATTCGGCTCAGGTGGGGAACAACTGCGTGTGCAACAGCCCCCAGCCACCGCCGCATCATATCAAGAACGTCACGGTCTCGGGGCATCCAGTGCACTGCCAGGAGTCCGAGTCTTCTTTCCCGGGCAAAAACATGGAAAATAACCTCCGGGTAGCATGAGCGAATGTGGGCAGACATGGGGATGTTTTTGTTGTTCATTAATTACAATTTGGGGGGATCGATGAGGGAAACTCAAAGGAAACAACACCTGCGCGGATGGTTCTTCCCATTTGAGGCAACCCCATGTCCCCTTTTGCTCCATGTCACGTGCGCTGATTTGTTTCAAGGAGTTACCTCTACCAGCTTAACCAGGAATGATGTCGAAACATGCTTAACCAGGAAATACGGGGAGCTTGTTGCAAGACCAGCCATGAGTCCACTGTTCCAACTGGCAAAGGTTCCAAAGGGCATTCCTGGTGCCCGTCATTTCCGGAATTGCCCTTTGAGGCAACCCGACTCATGAGTGGCTTGCGGGGAGATGAACATGGTCGAACCTTCCCCATTTTGTCTGACGTTCTTTTTGGCCCCAGACCGAATTTTGCTGGGGCCTCCTCGGAACATACCTGGAACCTAGGGCAAAAATGTTAGCCGTTCTGTGTTAAGCTGGAATTGCCGTCGCAAGAAGGAACAATCGCCGGCAGCTCTGAACAACGCCGGCAGCAAAACAGCAGCCGTAGAGCCTCGTCAAGCACAGCATGAACCAAACCAATCTCCTGCTCCCCACAATTCAACACAAGCCCGGCATGTTTGCCATGCTGCAGCTTGCTGCTGGAGATTGCTGCTAGTTTTTTTGTTTTTTTAGGTTGGCTAAAAATGACCTAGAGTCCGAGTGTCGGGGCTTTCGGGGTGCACCAAACTGGGCTTTCCCTTGGCCCAGTTTGCTTCCAGGAGGAGGTGAAGAGCCCGAGCGGCGACCGCTTTGGAGTGCGGATCTCCGGAAGAGCCCAGCTGACGATCACGCGGCTGGACGCGGCAAGCTGCTGGTGCGACGACGTGACGGTCGAGTGCTGCGTCGCCTAGGCGCCCTTGGGGGGGGTTGGATGTCTAGTAGCCCTAGGCTTGGGAAAAGTAGCCTGCCAGGTGGGGTTTACTGGCAGATACCTGAAAGCAAGCTGGCATGGAGTCCCAAAACAGCAGAGGAGCCCCCCTGAAACTTAATGACTCTCCGAACGGGGTATGCATTTTGGAATGCTTTTTCTTGAAGGTGGGCTCTTTGGCACGCCAAAAGAAAAGCGCCCATTCCCCCTCTGGCTTTGGGCTCGGCCAGGTGCGCAAAGGCCCGACGATTAGCCATGGCCCAGCGGACAAAGCTTTCTGCGGGCAGAGGTGGCGGCCAAAGGATCGCGCGCCCCTCGCGGGAGAAACACCTGCGGCCGTTCTTGAGGGCACTTGTCGCGCCAAGGAAGTGGATCCGCCACTGCAGCCACTACTGGGGTGTCGTTTTGGAGTCAGTATCCTTCTGTGGGTGGTTTTAACGGGCAACCAAGAGGAAAACCACCATTTTGGTCCCCTAAAATAGACACACCCGGCTCTTTGGTGCACAAGCATGGGGAACGTGGTGGAATATGTTCGCGTCGGATTATTGCTTGCATCCACAGGGAACCTTTTGTTAGAACCTGTCGTCGGTCGGCCTTAGGTTTTGGCCAGGGGTAGGATTGGAGTGGGTCGTTCAACAAGTTTTGGCCTCGGACCGGAATCCACAAGAAAGTTGTTAATTTCGTGGAGTTCTACCATTTTACTTGGGCTATCAAATTTGACCATCTCCATTCTTGCTTCCATCCTTTGGACCCAGGTTTCATAGTGTTTGAAGGCAAGCCGCCGGTGTTGAGCTTACCGGTTTTTTTTTGACCAACTCGAAGATGAGCGTGCCGGGTTGCTGGGTTCCCGTATGAAGTTTGAGGGTTGGTGCACGGGGGGGGAGGGGAGTGCTCTGTTGTTTTAAACCGGCGACCCTGGAAGTGATTGTTGGCTAGGCGGGTTAATTGGTTGGTAGGCTTCGGGCGGGCTCATTTGCTTGCGGTTGCCTTCTAGTGAGTTCAGTCAGGCTGCCGCTTACATTGGCATTTGTGCTCGTATTGGGCTGGTATTGGGCTGGTCCAGGCAGGGTAGGGGGCCTGCTAGACATAAAAAAAAAAGAAAAAGTAGCTCGCGAAATTAGATCACGAGCTTCACAAGTTGAGTTACAAGCCAGGCCAGCCCTTGGCTCCCCCCACAGCTAGGTCCCGGGCCAGCGACAAACCAGGTGCGCTACAAAACCGGGAATGGTTCTTACCATGTTGCGGGGGGTGGCCCCCAAGCCCAGAGGTACTGGTCCTGACGTGACTTGTGGGGTTCGCAGATGGAAGGGTTCTCACCTGCGATGGGCCGGCCGGCGATGAGCCGGCCCGTGGCGCACGGCAGGTGCCAGGTGCAACTCGCGGATGCCAGCGGATGGGCAGCGAACACGCCTGGCACGGAAAAAAGTGCGGGCAGAGAGACCAGACCCGGGGAATCCAATGTACCTGGGTGCTCCAAATTGCCAAGCAAATGCTCACTTGCCAAAGCGAATCGACCTTTCGTTCTGTGGCTTTTTCCTGCTTTGGCCCATTTTTAGTCATGGCCCCAAAAGCTTAATCGTGTATTTCGGGGACAGGGGCAACTGAGGATGGTTTGTCACAGTCTTGCGGGGTCGCGCCTCTGGACTGAGGACACTACGCGCAGTGCCCCGCTGGACGAGCGGAAAAAGGCGTGGGTGTTCCCATCACTTCACAGAGACTTGTTCAAATCGGGCAGGAAGCATGCAGCCTGAACATGAAACCTACAAAACCATGACTTTAGAGGAAATCCATCCTTTATCCATTGGAATTCCCGTTTTGGTTCCAGCTTAGTTGAGACCTGAAAAACATGATGCTGCATGCAAACATCATTGCTCGATCAGACAGGTTGGACACCCCAGGGCGGCCCTGGAATACTACGATTCCCGTGCAGCTTTGGGCATGTGTCAAAGTTGCGCCTCCAAACATGTTGGTTTTCTTTCTTGGCTTCCCTCAATCAGTCAACCCAACCTGAGAAGGGCAACTACCCTCAAAAGCAAACACACACGCACACATATGTCGACATGTCTTTTGTCGCCCTCCAATCTGCGAACTGCAGGTCTTCCGGGATCTGCAACGGCAGCTGCATCCAGACAAGAACCTTCATGATCAGGAGGCGGTTCATGGGCTGGTTGCGCCGCGCATGGGGCCGTTAGGGCAAACATCCAATTCCAGCTTTCAGGAGGGAAGCGGGGGTGTCTCTTTCAGGGGGGCCCACAAAATGGTGGTTGTTGTTTGGGGTCCTCGCAAAAAGACACACCCGAGTGGGCTCTATCTCTCGTTGCCTGCAGCGAGTTGGCCTTGTGTGTGTGTGTTTTCCTTTGCAGAGGATTCCAAAAGCAATTCGCTATTTTGTGCATTTGTGCTTAAGCTTATGATTGTTTACTCTCGCTGCAGTTTTCTTGTTTCCTTCTTCTGGATGACTCATTTGTGCTGCACCTCCTGATTTGAAATCAGCGCTTGTCTGACGCTGCATTGACCTTCGGCGGTTCGTGCTTTGCTTGCCGCCCATGTGGGGATCGATGCTTGCATTTAGCTTGCCTTGGGTCTAAGCCCTAGCTTGCTTCTTTCGTCGCTGTGCCCCTTGAACTGCTATGTTGCCCTGCACCTGGAATTGGTACCGTGGCGTCCATCCACTTTGACATGTGTGGTTTTCTCTTTCGTGTGCCCAAAGCACAGTGACCGCTGCCACTAGATGCTTGCCACTCTTTGAGCTAAGTTTGCGCACGGTTGCTGCAATATGGCAGTGAATTTTTTTGAGGGGTCTGTAACAGAGCCGCGGCGGACATTCGTTACAGACCTCGTTACAGACCTCTGTAACAAAACCAGCTGGCTCGTTACACACCCCTCGTTACACACCCTCGTGACACACCCTCGTTACACACCCTCGCTATACATCACGCCCTCGCTATACACGCCCTCGTTACACACCTCAGATGAACAAACCGGGCCAGTGACGTGACTGCCCTCTTTTGCCGCAGCTTGGCTTGCGTTGAATAGCTGCAATCAAGTGCTTTGCGTCGCCTCGTTACAGACCTCGTTACATAGCCGTTACATACCTCGTTACAGACCCAACCCCAGCCCAAGCCAGCGACCCCGCTTTTTGCCGCAGCTTGGCTTGCGTTGAATAGAGCTGCGCTGCGCCTCGTTACAGACCTCGTTACATAGCCGTTACATACCTCGTTACAGACCCAACCCCAGCCCGGGCCAGCGACCCCGCTTTTTGCCGCAGCTTGGCTTGCGTTGAATAGCTGCAAGCAAGCTGGTGCTGCGGAGGCGCGCTTTGCGTACTGCGCTTCGCTTTGCCTCGTTACAGACCTCGTTACAGACCCAACCCCCAACCCGGCCCAGCGACCCCGCGTTTTGCCGCAGCTTGGCTTGCGTTGAGTAGCTGCAATCAAGCTGGAGCTGCGGAGGCGCGCTTTGCGTCCTGCGCTTTGCTTTGCCTCGTTACAGACCTCGTTACATAGCCATTACACACCTCGTTGTGCTGCGATACATTGTGCTACTGATACTGCTTGTCAGGAAATGTCTGTCCCGTTACAGACCTGCGTAACAAGGACCTCCGTTACAGACGTCCGTAACAAGATTCGTGGCGCGTCGCGCGTTACAGACCCCTAAAAAAATTCATAGCCATATGAGGCCAGTGCTCACCTGCAGTTTAGTAGAGAACCCCAGAAACCCTTACTTGAGAAATCATAATTTGGAAGATCCGACTTGCGAACCTGTCGCCCTGGGTACAGGAGGGAACTAGGACATTTTTGAGCATCCTGGGGCCGCTTGCCACCTTTGGCACCGGATCTTTGGCATTTGCAATTCCAGCTGACTTGAAGACTCTGCCTGGCCACAAAGAGGAAGAGGTACTTGGTGTTGCCTCGCTGGATGAGATGCCTTTGGCTTCACGTTGCCCAAAAGCGAATCTACCTTTTGACCTTTTGGTTTCCTGTTTTGGGCAACCGTTTTCAGTGGCCCAAGGGAGACTCATGTGGTTTCCCACAGCCTCTGACAGCCCGCCAAACGTGAGCATCCGTTTAATCAAGGCTGATCTTCACTGTTGGCGGCTCACTTCCTGAGTTGGACTTCAGTCACTTTTGAGGCTTGGTTGCCACTCCAGTGGCAAAACGTTGGGGTACCTGGAGTCTCCTTCTGACCCTTCCAAAACGGGCCATGGACCCCCTCCTTGATTTTGGGCAATGACCCCATTCTTTAAAGCCATTTTCGTGGTATACACACCTAGAAACATAAGTTGTAGTAAAGTTTTTTGCTAGAAATGGTTCGACTTAGCAAGAATATATAGCAACCTTACTAAAGTCTTTCCAGGAGCCCTTTTGTTCTTTGCACAAAATAACATGGACCCCCCGTTCCTTTTTTTTTGTACGGCCATTTTAGTGGACACATCAAAACAAAAACATACGTCTTCGCCCATTGTTGTTTTTTGTCCTCCCCCCCCCCCCCCCCGCGTGTTTTTTTTTTTTTGGGGGGGGGCGGCAACCCCCGCTGGCGCTCGCTCGCTCGCTCGCTCGCTCGCTCGATGCAGCGATGCGCAGGCGGCGAAGCTGGCCTTCCAGAAGCTCATGGAGAGCCGCCCGGCGCCCCGGCGGCGAGGGATCGAGGGATGCGGACGGGCGGGCGGGTTGGTGTCGCCGGTGGGCCGGGTGGGCCGCTTGGGTTTGGTTGGGTCGTTTGGTTGGTTTTTGTTTCTCTGTTTTCCCCCTTTTTGGTAGGTGTCAAAGGGAAACCGGAAGGAAAGCAGCCGTTTTGGGATTTGTGTTTGTTTTGTTTGTGTTGGGGGGGGGGGCTCAGGTTAAGAAACCATGCTTTTCCAAACACCTGGCCCAACCAGTTTTGTGGCTCGGCTTGCTGCTTTTGCAAGATCGCTATTTGGTATGTCCACTGAAAAACTCAGATCTAGTGAGTTGGCAAAGGTACATGTTCAGTTGATGGTAAGTGTGCTTCCTTTCCTGTTTGGGAAAATTGAGCACGCGCGGGGAAAGACGGTTCCGAGAGGCAGTCAACGGTTTTATTTGTTAAGCCACAGGCCATCGCTAGGAGCGGGGCAACCTTAGCCTAGGTCCCCAGCTAGGTGCCCTTTCTCACCCCTTTTTTGGTTGGGAGGGTTCCCTACTAGAATAGACTACAGAAAAAAGGGTACCCTTGTTCGAACCTCTCGACTGGAGGACTTAGTAGCAGTGCATGCAAAAAAAAATGATAATTTGGATGGGTGGTTTGGGGAGTTGCATCCTGGTTCTCGTGGAGTGTGAACTGCAAACCTATGCCAGTTGGAGGAAACTGAATTAAAGAGTGATTTGCCGATTCCGCCAATCCCAGAATGAAAACGAGCGAAAGCTATGACGAAGCTTAATGGAGGATGTTGTTCATAGTATTTCAACTGGTAAATCTCGGCTTTGCTTGGGGTTTGTAACAGGTGGACATGCGCGGTTGTTTTTGGGAAACATTTTACATTTTTGCTTATTGTGGTTTAGTGGGAAAACCCCCACTCAACTGCAAAAAATATTTTTTTGCTCCCGCTCCAACGTCAACCAAGAGTGGGTGGTGTCCTTCCCGGAATCCGCAAAAAGGGCGGGGGGGCGGGTAGCGGTCCTGCAGTCCCATGGGTGCCTTTTGCTTGGCGTTTTCACGCGTGCCAGCTGCGAACCGTTAGCCCCGGCTCGCGGCCACCCTGAAAATCGAATTTGTTGGTGTTGGTTCGAGGGGTGATCAAAGTCAGAAACCGGAATTAGTGGTTTTCCCTTTTTTTTAACCCACCGCTGAACGGGGGTGATTCTGATGGTAAAATATTGGGGTCAGTGCCATCGAGAAAGTGCGGATGACCACCTTTTGGGAGTACGTGCCTTCCTGACGCTTGCCAGGTGACGCTTATTTGGCGTGACACGGGTGCGGCAAGGTCAATGACCTGTGCGGGTTCTTGCTTCTCTTACGCGCAGTACTTTTACAGTTGTAAATGCAGTGGCGCGACTCGTGTTGTTTGGCTGATGCGCTTAGAGTATAGCTTGTGCAATTATTGCTTAGGTGGGTGTGTCTTTTTTGGAGGCTTGGCACGTGTTTGTGAAGGGACTCATTTTGGGGGTTCCCCAGTTTGAGACACACCCAGTCGTTTGGGCCGTGTCGCTCCTGTTTGATATTTCTTGCACTCTGAGAAGCCCGCAGGCCCTTAGCTCGGGCTGCATGCGCAGTCCAGCAGCCTTCGGCTCCAACGTGCCAAACAACATATATATATATATATATATATACATTTGGGGGGCCATGGTTGTGTGAAGTCGGCCCAGTGGGTCCAAGTACCTTCTACTAAGGAGGTACTTAGACCCCTTTTTGCCCCGAAAGACATCCTCAGGAGGTACTTGGACCCTCTGGGCGGGTTTCACTTGGAGAGTGTGTTATTCGTTGGCCTTGATCGCCGGGCTTCATTTTCTGTGAGGGCTTAAACCCTCCAAAGCGATATAGCCGGGCGTGTCTTTACGGGGACGCACAAAAACGGGGTGTTCCTTTTGGGTTCCCTTCAAAACCTCTCAAAAAGGGTACGTATTTCCAACAGCCATGGGAGAGGTTGAAGTCAGGTGAAAGAAAAGGACCTTCAACAAAGCACACCCATATAGTCGATCAGCCAATGAGTCGACATTTTGCATGGGCAATTCATAACGAGCTCACCTTTGGGCAAATACGGCGATGGTGCCGCTTTCTGAGGGTTCTTTGAACTCCGGTTTGCCAGATGCGTTTCCGGTTTTAAGCTCCAAGGTTGGCCTTGCAATCCAGAACCAGCTGTCCCTATGAGGGTCTAAGTACTTGGAGCTTTTCACAAACAAACTGTTCAGGAAGCCAGGCAAACCGCTGGGGCGAGCCAGGAGATGCCCCGGTAAAACACAATGCTTCACAAACAAGTCTGGGGTAGACTTAGGATACGTTTTATATTTTACCAGTGACTCAAAGGGAAGCAAACAATAGAATATACATTCTATAGCTGGGCCTAAGTCTAATCATGAAGTTAAGTCATGAGAAAAAAAGGCAGAGGAAGAAGGCGTGTAAGAATTTACCCCCCCCCCCCCCACCAATTGACATGAAATCTGACCTGGCCAGGGGCTCCCTTGAAAAGGAAGATGGTCCAAACCAGAACCCCCCTGTCGGGGCGATGGTAGCATCCACACTTTGCTCAACTTGGAGCCGCGGGCTGGCACGTACTTGCATGGGTCAGCGGAGATCAGCGGAGAACTGGTGCAACTGGCTTGTCACCATGTGCCATAGGAAGGGCTTGGCCCATCAGATAGCGCGGCTTGCCGAGTCGCGCCATCGCATTCTGGCAAATGTGTGGTTTTGCCTCTCTCCAGCTGACCCCCGATGGACGCAACTGTAAAGGACGGAGTGCTTCGCCTGGTGGCGACTGCGTTGGAGCTCAAAACGGATCCCAGTGCGGATGCCGGCCGCTGACTACTGCCCGGTTGCACCTGCTCGCGCCCAGTTGTCTCACTTGCCCAAAGCCAACCTTGCGGGCTTTTACTTTTGCATTTTTGGTCCATTTTTCGTCATGGACCCCACAGGTCAACCTTTTTTTCTGGGTCCTTGCAGGTTGTGGGTGGGTAGGGTTTTGTGGGTCAACCTTTTTTTCTGAGTTGTGCCTTGTAGGGTGCCGTGGTGTGTCAGCCGTTTTGCTCAATATCGCGTCCTCCTGGTTACCTTTGAAACCTGCGGTTTCCCGAGCATGGAGCGAGTCGCGCGCATCGCATCCCACGTGAAGGCCAGCGCGTCGCAGCAGGCCACGGTGACAGCTAGCCCAACGGCCGGTTTCTGCACCAAGGCCAAGGCAGATGACGACGTGGTGATATGCTGCGCAGTGCGGACCGCCTTGTGCAAAGCCGGAAAGGGCTCGTTCAACAAGACCGCGCCTGAGGAGCTGTTGGCCGCAGTCTTCAAGGAGGTCATTGCACGAACCAAGGTGAACCCAAAGGACATAGGTGACATCCAGATTGGCAACGTGCTTCAGCCAGGGGCTAGTGGCCTCACATCCCGCATGGGCCAGTTCATGGCCGAGCTGCCGTACGATATTCCGCTCAGCACAGTGAACCGACAGTGCAGCAGTAGCTTGCAGGCTACTGCCTACATCGCGGCTGCCATCAAGAGCGGCATCATCGACATCGGTCTGGCCGGCGGCGTGGAGAACATGAGCATGTTTCCCATGATGGCCACCATTGACATCACCAAGCTGTCCGCCAAAGTCCTGGAGTACGAGAATGCTGAAGCCTGCCTGTTGCCCATGGGTCTGACGTCCGAGAACGTGGCAGCAGCATACGGCGTCACCCGCGAGCGACAAGACCAGATGGCGGCGGACTCCCACCGGAAGGCCCTGGAGGCACAGAAGAACGGCTGGTTCAAGGAGGAGATTGTGCCAGTGACGGTGGAGATGAAGCAGAAGGATGGCTCCGTCAAGAAGGTGGTGGTTGACAAGGACGAAGGCCCGCGCGCTGGCACCACCAAGGAGGGTCTTGCCAAGCTGAAGCCTGCTTTCAAGGCTGGCGGCAGCACAACGGCCGGGAACTCCAGTCAGACCACGGACGGTGCTGCCATGGTGCTCTTAGCAAGGCGGGATGTGGCCAAGAAGCACGGGCTGCCCATCATTGCGCGATTCTGCAGCTTTGCGTGCGTGGGCGTGGATCCCAAACTCATGGGAATCGGCCCTGCCTTCGCCATCCCGCCGGCGCTGGAGAAGGCTGGCATCACCGTTGACGATGTGGACGTGTTTGAGATCAACGAGGCCTTCGCGTCTCAGGCGACCATGTCTTGCGATCACCTGAAGGTTCCCATGGAGAAATTGAACCCCAAGGGCGGTGCCATTGCACTTGGTCACCCTTTGGGTGCCACTGGAGCCAGGCAAATTGCCACACTGCTTCCGGAGCTCAAGCGGACGGGCAAGAAGTACGGTGTCACGTCCATGTGCCTGGGTAGTGGCATGGGGGCTGCTTCAGTCATTGAGGCGGAGTGAGCATTTTTTGAGCGAAGGTGCCCTGCGATTGTCGGGGGGGCTTCGTTTTGTTTCAACTTCCCGTTTCTTACCTATGTGCGCGTGTCAATTCTTTTGGGGGTTGGGGGCAAGATGCCCGTGTCATGTGGAAAGCAATCCCATCAGGGAGGAGCTGCGCATGCCACATAGTTGACTCTTGACATGTCTCTCGGTCTCACGAGGCGGTATGCGTGCGCAAGAAAAAAACGAGTGCCTTACCCGCAGTGCCCAAAACTGGAGCCAGAGACAGTGATCGGCGACAGCGGCACTAGTATGTCACGGATGTTTTCTTTGTCGCCTTCACGTGTGGTGGTGTTGGTAGCCTTTGCCGTTGGCATAGCGCCATGTTTGTCGCCGTTTCGCCGAAGATCAAGTGCGCCTGGAAACCAAACAAAAAGGGTGGCTGCCACGCATGGAGCGAGTCGCGCGCATCGCATCCCACGTGAAGGCCAGCGCGTCGCAGCAGGCCACGGTGACAGCTAGCCCAACGGCCGGTTTCTGCACCAAGGCCAAGGCAGATGACGACGTGGTGATATGCTGCGCGGTGCGGACCGCCTTGTGCAAAGCCGGAAAGGGCTCGTTCAACAAGACCGCGCCTGAGGAGCTGTTGGCCGCAGTCTTCAAGGAGGTCATTGCACGAACCAAGGTGAACCCAAAGGACATAGGTGACATCCAGATTGGCAACGTGCTTCAGCCAGGGGCTAGTGGCCTCACATCCCGCATGGGCCAGTTCATGGCCGAGCTGCCGTACGATATTCCGCTCAGCACAGTGAACCGACAGTGCAGCAGTAGCTTGCAGGCTACTGCCTACATCGCGGCTGCCATCAAGAGCGGCATCATCGACATCGGTCTGGCCGGCGGCGTGGAGAACATGAGCCCATTGACATCACCAAGCTGTCCGCCAAAGTCCTGGAGTACGAGAATGCTGAAGCCTGCCTGTTGCCCATGGGTCTGACGTCCGAGAACGTGGCAGCAGCATACGGCGTCACCCGCGAGCGACAAGACCAGATGGCGGCGGACTCCCACCGGAAGGCCCTGGAGGCACAGAAGAACGGCTGGTTCAAGGAGGAGATTGTGCCAGTGACGGTGGAGATGAAGCAGAAGGATGGCTCCGTCAAGAAGGTGGTGGTTGACAAGGACGAAGGCCCGCGCGCTGGCACCACCAAGGAGGGTCTTGCCAAGCTGAAGCCTGCTTTCAAGGCTGGCGGCAGCACAACGGCCGGAAACTCCAGTCAGACCACGGACGGTGCTGCCATGGTGCTCTTAGCAAGGCGGGATGTGGCCAAGAAGCACGGGCTGCCCATCATTGCGCGATTCTGCAGCTTTGCGTGCGTGGGCGTGGATCCCAAACTCATGGGAATCGGCCCTGCCTTCGCCATCCCGCCGGCGCTGGAGAAGGCTGGCATCACCGTTGACGATGTGGACGTGTTTGAGATCAACGAGGCCTTCGCGTCTCAGGCGACCATGTCTTGCGATCACCTGAAGGTTCCCATGGAGAAATTGAACCCCAAGGGCGGTGCCATTGCACTTGGTCACCCTTTGGGTGCCACTGGAGCCAGGCAAATTGCCACACTGCTTCCGGAGCTCAAGCGGACGGGCAAGAAGTACGGTGTCACGTCCATGTGCCTGGGTAGTGGCATGGGGGCTGCTTCAGTCATTGAGGCGGAGTGAGCATTTTTTGAGCGAAGGTGCCCTGCGATTGTCGGGGGGGCTTTGCTCGATGTGACGTGTAGGCTATTTGTAGTTTTCGATCCTTGAGGGTTGTCTTTACAAGATTCCACAAGGATCGTATGATCCAGCAGTCAGCCCAAGGCATCTGCAAGAGTCAGCAAAAGCCTGCCCATGCCCAGGCTTCAAAAAGTGTGCTTTGCATATGTCCGTTTGCTGGCGAGGTGCTCAGAGGCTTTGGTGTTTTTCATGCGGCAAAACAATGTGTTTATTGTTGTGTTCGAGCTGCAACTTGTGGTGCACCGGCAGGAGCCGCAAACCTGACCCTCTCTCATGTCAATGCTTGTCGGATGCTTTGAACTTGACTCTTGACTTTGTCGAGCTGGGCCTTTAGTATCACAGGATGGTCTTTTCAATGTTGTGCAGCGTTTGCATGTCTACCAAAAGCAGTTGTTGTTCTTGTCTTACCTCTTAAAAAACACAACTTTTCAACTTTTTGGGTAACACGGGCTATATATATGTCTGTAAAAGATTAACTTCCCCAGGGCGCAGGGAGTTTTAAGGGGTAAGTTGTTGGCTTCATGGTCAGTTTTTTAGCGGACGTCCCCCGAAAGGGACGGTGACGCCCTTTCTTTACAGCCATGAGCAGGGTCTGGAGAAGCGGGCTCGCAAAGCGGTCCGCTGCCCCAAAGTCCTTGGACCCATCGGCTGAAAACATCGTCATGACGATGGAGTGCTACATTTGGTTGTTGTTGGGAAACAATTTACATTTTGCTTGTTGTGGTTTAGTGGGAAATCTTTACTTAACTGCTTTTTGTTTTTTCTCCCCTTCCAACGTCAACCAACACATTCTTGCTTGTCAACTCGTGCACAAGACAATCTTGGCTTATGGCTGAGCTCTGTCTCGTTCTGCCTCGCATTTCTACGCCTGAGTGGGAAGCCCTGTCTGGGTTCTTTGCCTTTGGGTTCTTAGCCTATTTACGTGTTTTTCCTTCCTGTTGGCTGTTGCGCAATCGGGCACGGCCAGCCATTAGGGAACTGCAGCTACACTAGAGGTGGTTCCCTGAACGGCAACCATCGAACTATGGCAAAGCAAGGGACCCAATCAGAAGTGAGTGATTGCCAGATGCTTCTAGCAAGGACTCTGAAGCCAAACGGTCACATGGAATCTAGAAAACTGGCACTGGACAAGCCTTGTTCTTTCCACCCGGGCAAGGGACCAACAAGTGGTGCAAGCTTCACATTGATCGCCATCTCTCGAGGTTTCTGAAAAAACTGTTGAAGAACAAACCTTCTAGGCAGGAGCCCGGTTCATCACAGCGACACCCAAAATTTGCGAGGCGCAAAACGGTTGGAAAGGGAACCACTCCCCAATGTACTTTTGAGATACCTTGAGAGGAACAGATCAAATCTTCAGAAGGAGCTGGTTTCCAAGGTGGTTTTCACCTGAAGTAATATGTGAACGGAAGGGGGCAGAGATGGAATGGACGCCAGCTTGGCGGCTGAGGAGGCGCACGGCGCTCTAAATCCGGGCTGTTCGAGTCAAAACCCATCCAAAATCTGGCTGTTTGGCTACTAGGTAACGGCTCTTTGGACTTTAACCTTTGGGGATGTCTGGAACCAACGGAAACATCTTTGCCCTCGACAAACATGATGGTAGAAATGATTGACATCCTAGGTGTAGGGTTTTTGTCACGTTGATCAAGTAATCCGTGTGCCAGATGGTCGTGGTTTTGTTGCGAAGGACCAAAGCCACACCAGCCGCTGCAAACAACTACTTTGTTGCCTCTTGCTTGGATGTTAGGACTTCAACCTTTTGCCATCTGATGGGTTTTCCATGAAACCACTAAAAGTTAAACTTTTAGCAGGGGAGCAGAAAGCAACCGAGACTAGTTCTCCTTCAAATGTTGCAACTGCTTCCTTTGAGGATGGCTTTTGCTATCCGGAGGGGTTGGGTAGGTTGCAGTCACCAGGCGCCCAGTCTGAGCATGTAGAGCTTGATCTGAATCCAAGTGTGGCTTCGAAGAAGGCATTCTCAATGGCATCGCTTCAATCTCCCACCCCCATGGGCGTATGGATGGCTCGTTGCCATGGTTGCCTTTGCTTCTTTTTCCCACCTGGACTGGCATGTGGGTATGGGTCGAAATTTCACCACCAGGGGACCGCAGGGTTTCGTCCATGTTTCCACTTATCAGGGTTCCATTTTGGGTACACTTTCTTGACCCGGAGCCATGTTGCCCCCGAACTAGTCAACTTGGTGGTTTGATGAAGGATTCCTTCCAAGCTGTCCGCAATCGATGGGTGGATGTATCCTTGGGTTATGAGCCTACAAGCACAACGGTGTGTATTTTCCCCTTGGAGCAGCTGTGCGTTTGTGGCACACCAAGCATGCCATAGATGCCAGTTCATAGACTGGCCAGTGGTTCGACCGAGGCGTTTTTTTCGAGATAGTGATACTCAAAGGGTCCACATGGTCCACATAAAAATCCACTGTTGAAAGGCCCAACGCTTTTCTTGGTTGCCAACTAGTCCACACAGTGGACCTCGGGGCGAGCTTCATGTTTGCTTTGGGTGGCCTGCTTCATTGTTCAATATCATTCGAAGGGTTGACAACCTTCTATCTATTCTGTGCCCGTCGTTCTCTTCCGAAATCGTCCCTTTGCCCAGAATATGACCCATTTCCTCCAGAGAAGGATCCGTGAAGAGAACAGGTAGTGTACAGATAGAATCATAAAGAAAAGGCTTGTAACAGATTTCCCATCACCGACCCCCGTATGCCCTGCTTGCAGCGCATGTGCTGCTCGCAAAAGGTGTTTTTTTCTCAGCGACCCATGTCGTCCAGTGGCGCTGTTTGACCCTGAACAAATTGGCAGACAAAGCAAACCTTTAGGTCTCCTTCTTTTTTTGCCAGCAAAACTTGCTGGTGCTCAGTAGGGAATGACCCATGGTTTTGGGAATGAACCAGCAGATTCCCTTAACCATACGGGCTCAATCCCTCATTCCCTGCTGAGATTCTGCAACAAAAGTAGGTCCCCGGTCGTAAATTATTTTATGATGTCTGCAGGGTTTGCAGTTGATACTGCCCATGTTGACCTCTGATGAATAGCCCCCATTGCCAGGTATTTGTCAGCGTCCCTGTTCCATGGCGCCTGATCAACAGGCGATATAAATCCTGGTAAGCTCCAGGAGTTTCGCATTCCGAGTTTTGCGGTGAAAGTTGCGGCTTGCAGCCCGCCGAGCGACTGCTTTAGGAATGTAGATGCATGTAGATGCATGTTTGCGCAATTAGCGGTCTGATAAGCAAGTAATCCAAGCTATGCCAGGATGTTGGGACCTGCAGTTGATGGATGATGATGTTGCGAATGCCATCTCTGCCTGCTGAAATGTTTGCCTTGTTCGCCTTGCACGTTCTAGTGGACTGACAAGTCGGCAAGAGTGCGAACAGGTAGGCACACAGGTCTTCTTCGAATGCAAGGAGGTCTGCAAAAATGTGACAGATTCCGCTTCGAGGCACCCCACTCTGCCCCCAATCAAAGTTGCCAAGACTTGAAGCACAGAAGCACATATGCCTTTCGTCCCCCTGGCTCCCCGATTTTTTCGAAATTGCAAAGATGCGACAGATATGGCAAACACCGAACTTTCGGCGTTTTCCCCGCGGCCGACCCGGAGGCTTTACGTCTGCTTCTTTTCGCTGCTGGGGCCATTCCTGAGCTTTGCAAAGGCTCGACGGGCCGAAACACGGAGGCACCATGTTTGGAGAAGGTCATTCTACTCCTCACTGTTCTTGGCAAGCTTTTTGTGTCTTTTGTTTTGATCCTGTTCATGTTTAGTAGGGGGGCCGCAAAATTCATTTTGTTCATTGATATCACCCCCCCGATTAAGCGGCTTCCGGGGCAGAAGGTGAGGTGGCCGCTGCAGGATTGAGGACGCATCCGGAAACTAGATAGAGATTGAATTCAGAAGTTTTTCGCCTTGGATCCCCCCGCAAAAATCGAGCCTTTTAGTAATCAGCGGTATTTGTTGTACTTGCGCCCTTTGAGCCATTGTTCTGAGAAGGAGAGCAACAAATCAAACATTGGAAGCTGACCCTTGGGGGGGCTCCTGGTTTTTTGAGCCATCCATGGCTTGCTTCTGCAGCTGAGAGCAGCGAATCAAACATGGAAGCTGACGTTCGTTGGTTTGGACCGTTCTCCATTTCCAGGGACCTGTCCGGTTGTTGTTGGGAAACATTTTCCCATTTTTGCTTCTTGGGATTTAGTGGTTGGACTCCAGCCACTTAGCTGCTAAGACTTAAACTTTTGCTCCCCTTCCAACGTCAACCATGTCAATTGCTGGGAGGGCAACGCAAAATGTTGGCTTTGAAGAAGCCTGGCAACTCAATGGGCGCCGTGTGATTTGGATGCCTGAGGAGCCTGCAACCTAGGCCAAACACGGTTTGCATGATTTTATACATGTACATACATGCATATTTTCTATATACATGTATTGGTTACACGTGCTAATAATGAGGCAGGAACTCGTTGCAAGAAGGATATCAAAGAGAGTATTCCTGCAGGAAGTTGCCAGCTTCAACGACGAAACACCAGTAGTCATGGCTGGCCAAGACACAGACAGAGATGCAACTGCACAGGGGTGCAATATTGATGTGAAAGCTTTGGTTGGGTGATATGCTACGTAGTCATGCTCTAGCATTGGCCGCGTACAGTAGTGGAAACAGCAAAACTTCATTGGCAACAACACCACGGCTGCAGATTGTCTTTAGCCATCCACGGACCACCCCTACAACGAGGCAAGCGGCCAACCATGAAGTGCCCCTTCGTTTCTTCATTAGGTTACAAGTCTGCTTGAATTTGTCAGGCTGGTCCTTAAACACACATCTTCGAACCGAGTGATGTGTATTTGGATGGCTGCATATGTGTGTTTGCTTGTTTAATTTGTACAGGTTCATAATCTATATGCATATGCGTGCGCTTGTGTTTGTGTATGGCTGTTCTCCCCGCGACATGGTGCGCCTGCGTCCAGGCATTCCAAAGCCCCCATGAACGGCATGTTCTCAGCCGCCGCCAGCTCGCGAAGTGTGGTACGCTGGCAACGCGGCAGGGTGGCGATGTCTCCAGGGCTCCCTACCCTGGAAGTTACCGTGGGGAATTCCCATCAAGACTCGTTCTCCAGAGATGCGGGACGCGATCATGTCCTGCTTCTTGATGGTCCTTTTGTCCCACTCGCCGTTAGCTAGACTTACCACCGTTCGGGTGACTGCCTGTCTCATGGTGCTGCGGCTCGTTTGTTTTTGTTGTAGGTTGTCATTGGGTATGGGCGAGACGCAGCCATGATTGCTCGTAAGTGTATGTTGCCAGTGGCGAACGCGCGCTGAGAAATTTGTAAAGATGAATCGAGTCTTTCTTTTATTTGCCATTACCACGCGACTTCCCAACCCTTGGTATGCTAGCAACAAGATGTGTTTTTGTGCATCCCCCCAAGCAAGTTTACAAGATTTGACGACTTCTCGATATAAAGTACACTACAACATTAACAGAACCCAAAACAACTAAAGAAAGACACATGCCAGGAACAGTGAAGGGGCGCTGACTGCCACAACAGGCTCGATGCCTTTGGAATTCGGACTTGCGCCTGGGGAGAGATGAGTGGTGCTTGCGACTATGGCCTCTTTAGTCTTCTGAAATGTGGACCCTTCATTTTGTCACGAGGCGTCCTACGTTGTCGTGTGTTGTTTGGGCCTTGAGACGCCGTGCTTGTTTTCCCTGCATGTGACCCTTTTTGGACACTGCCATGCACGGCGCTGAAGTACACAACCCGTTGGGACCTGCAGTTCATGAACATGTCTTGACCCACAGCTTGGAGAAGCTGTTCACCTTTCTAGCGGCAGGGATGCGCAAAATTCTTGGAGTTCTTTGCTTTTAGTCTCAGGTTATTCTCAGGCCAGGGCAACAATTTCACCTCTGGCGGTCACTGAGCAATCTACCTGTTGGTGTTGAAGTGGTGGCGGGTGTCGCCCAGGCCAGCGTCGTGTCGACGCCGGCCATGGGCTCTGATCGCCTCATCCTGCCGCTGGAGTTTGAAAGGGGTGCCTTCCTGCTGACGTTCCGGGTGACTTGCTTGGCCTGACTTGCTTGCCTGAGGCCCTTGCCTAGGTCACCCAGCTAGGTGCCCTTTCTCACCCCTTTTTGGTTGGGAGGGTTCCCCTACTAATAGACTACAGAAAAAAAAGGTACCCTTATTCTAACCTCTCTACTGGAGGACCTAGTTGCGGCTTTTGAGGGCAGTGCTTTGTGCCATGCGCTGCATGCTTTTCCTTGTGCTTTGTGCTTTTTTTGGGTGCGTGTTGTTGTGGTTTGCCGGGGAGGGCAACCAAGGGACTTGGATAGAGGTCAAGTTGGCTTGACCCATCATTTGGAAGAGGTCCAGCTGGTTTTGACACATGCCCATGTTCTGTCGCAGTGCCTGACTGCCATATTTCTAGTTTGTGTCTTGGATTCTTGTAGAGGGTGTGCATGGGACACCCCCTCCAACAAACCACCGCTTTTCGGAGGGAAGCCAAGTCTTCGGATTGACTTGGGGCTGGACGGATTCGAGTTGCGCGAGATGGACTCGAACAACATCTCGGGCTTCAGAGTTCTCGACATGGCCAGACTTGGCCATGGGTCAAAATCCAAATCGTGCCGCCAGTGAACATCCCAATCCAACCACTAAAATAGGTTCTAAAATGGGTGGTGCACCTATCCCAAAATGGGATCCCATTGGTTTTGACCCACAGCCACTTAACCAACCTGGCTGCTTGCCTTGAGACGTTTCTCTTTTAAAAAGGGATAGGGTTTGGGTCTGGACCATTTTTGGACGATTTGGGTTTGGACCATTTTAGTGGTGCCATTTTCTCTTTTTGGGTTTGGACCAGTTTAGTGGCAGACGAACAGTTTGGGTACCTTTTTTGTGTCATCCACGCAGGAAGTGAGACTTACAATTTACACCTGGGAAATTGCAAGCGCGTCACGGTTCATCTGACCGGACTTTGTCCATCAGTACCTGGGCATGTAGCACAAGACAAGACTAACGCCTGAAGACGAAATCCTCAAGACCCTCATTGTCAGAGGGGTGCGAGCTGAAGAGTAAGACAGGCCTTTCCTAGAGTTGCTCTCCCTCCCGTTGAGGTCCAGAAAGCCACTTCTCCCTTCTGTAAGGGAACCCCTTGTATTTTCCTTGAAGGGAACCCCGAGGCTCATTCCCGACACGCTGGGTTATTCCATACTGAGACCCAGCAAGCCATTTGCCGTGCCATTTTGGAAGTCCGTTTTTTTGTGCCACAGCCTGTGGAAAACCATCCGCCAACCTCCAAACACCGAGCTCGCTCTGCACCCTGTCCATGGGGAAACGGTCAGCTGGTTTTTGACGAAACAATGTTGAGCAGAATGGAAAAGGAATCTCTTAAAAAACAAAACTTTTCAACTTTTTGGGTAACATGGGCTATATGTCTGTAAAAGATGAAAACTTCCCCAGGGCGCAGGGAGTTTTAAGGGGTAAGTTGTTGGCTTCATGGTCAGGTTTTTAGCGGACGTCCCCCGAAAGGGACGGTGACGCCCTTTCTTTACAGCCATGAGCAGGGTCTGGAGAAGCGGGCTCGCAAAGCGGTCCGCTGCCCCAAAGTCCTTGGACCCACAACTCCTAGATGTGACGCGCTTGCGGCTTCCAAGCCCCTTCGAAACCGTAAGGCCTTAAGCAGACCGGCCATACGAAGCCTTTGGTTTCCCTGTCCATAGCCGAGGCTCCAACTGGTTTTAAGCAGAAGTCAACAGATTTCGGCGTGCTTTGCTTTTCTTCAACAACAAGACACCAAACAAAGTACCTGCTAACATGGAAGTGCATAGGCTCCTGTAGAAAGACTTGCTCTTGGAAAGTTGCTTTTTGCACAAACCCATGTCAGTTCGTGGGAAGGTAGCACATTTGGGTATGGGTCAAAATTCAACCACCAGGGGACCGCGGGTTTTAGTCCATGTTTCCTTTTGCCAGGATTCCACTTTTGGGGTTCCCATCTTTTTGACAACCACGGCCATTTGTTTCCAGGTCGTTTTTGGTCGCAGGTGACGCCCACCTCCCCCAACTCCCCAACCACTTCCGAGGTCGAGGGCTTCTCCTTCCGCGGGGTGGCGGACAGCGGGAGCCCCTTCCTGCTGGTGGCCGCCTGCGTCGGCGCGCGCCTGGCCGCGAAGCGCTGCACGGCCGGGCGGCCCGGGCGCGTGGCGCCGGGCGCGTGGGTGGGGGGAGGGAGGTACGAGCCTCGGATAGGGCCAGAGGCCATGGGAAGCTTAGCTTTGATGCATCTTGCTTGGATGCCAACTAATGGGTTTCCATTAAATTACTAAAAGTTAACTTTCTGCAGGAGAGCAGAAAGTAACCGACTTAGGAAAGTCAATCAAGAGTGCGCAAACAGGAGCGGTTTGCAACACATAAAGAAAACCCCCATGATGTTTAGAGGACTCGCCTTTTGCAGATCTAGTTGTGGGGTTCCATGCCCAAATTTGTGCGGCTTCACGGTGGTGCCCCTTTAAAGGAAACCCACGGCGAAGGATGGAGCCAAGACAGCGCTGACAGGGTTTGTTGCGCAACTTAAACAGCCCCTGGTCGAATTCCTTTGGGAGTCCGAAAGGTTCAGGTGGATCCAGGGTGGTTTGTTTTAAGAACTGTCTTAACACGTTCTCACAAGTAGCTTGGTGGCAAGCCCAGCCATCCGGTTCCTTAGCTTTTTAGATCCTTTTAGTGTTTAGTGGTAGTTTCCGAATTTAACCCACTAAAACTTTTAGCGGGTTGGTCCCATCAAGTTTGGGGGTCGGGAAAAGAGCTCCAGCTGCATCCAGCCCTGACAAGCTGAAGGTGCCCTGAACCTCGCCGATCCAAAGGGCGCAGCCCGCCCAAAACGGAGGCCCGAGGTTTTGGGGGGACTTGAAGCCCCCCCCCAGGAAACCGAAAGGAAAGCCAAAAGGAAGCGGCTCACCAGAACGCAGTTGAGTGGCTCTCAAGCTGGGTCTGTCCTTCTTTCTGGGTCTTCTTTTTGGGGTTGGTTTAAACGGAAACGGGAAGCCCACCTCGTTGGTTCTTTTCCTCTCTTTTTTTGGGGGGGCGGCGCCCTCGAAAAAGACTGCCCAAGTTTTTGTTGGCATTTCTGGAGTCGTTCCACCAGGCTGAGGTCATGGCGAGGCTTTGACCTCGGTTTCCCAGGAGTTGTTCTGAGGGCGTCACTGGAGCTACGTGCTTCGGCATGAGCCCCTCCATTTCGCGAGACTGTTTGAGTGAAGATCAGTGGGAGTTTCGCAAACTGCAGCTTCCGCTCGGATAAGATATGCTTACCTCTTAAAAACACAACTTTTCAACTTTGTGGGTAACATGGGCTATGTGTCTGTAAGAGATGAAAACTTCCCCAGGGCTTGCAGTTTTAAGGGGTAAGTATAGCAAGTGGCCAGGTTGAACCCAGGCAACTCTGGACGAAATCTCGTGCCTTAATGGCGTGACTTGTTTGGGGGTTTCGCTGAACCGGGATATCCAAATGAGCACGATGATTCTCAGATCTATGAGCCTGAGGTCCCTTTGACCGGTGGGCTACTCACTCTCGGATCATTTGGCCCTGTCTACATGTATGGGTGGATGAACCTCCCTCTGCCACACCCACCCACACAAACCTGAGATAGAACACTTCGGGAAATGATTTAGTCATTCAGTGCTCGCGGCCCATGCGACCAAGCCTCTTGCATGATTGGGCTGTTGAGCTGTTGGGTTGTTGAGCTGGGCTGTTGCTGTTGGGTTGTTGGGCTGTTTGGTTGTTGGTTTGGTCGTGTTTTTGGTTTTTGGCATGATCACCCCTATAGGATCTAACCCCCCGTTTGTGACGCGAGGGGCCCAGCGCCTAAGCGACGGCAGGAGTACTGCGACCGCTACGGCTGCAGCAGGACTCACGTCGGACGCCCATCCGGGCTGGATGACAACGTGGTGAGCTTTGCCGGCGCCTACGCCCGAGTGACGCGGATCAACCGCGCGCCTTAAAAGATACATGTTGCAACCATTTGAAACATGTTGCTTTTTCAACACCAAAATAAAGGGAAACCACAATTTACAAGGCAATGTTCAGGTGTATAATGTAGGAATCCCTGATCAACTGGGATTCGCCCTTTGAAAAAGCTGAGTCTTGCTGTCAACTGGCTTTTCGCATGCGAATAGATCTACTGATGTCCGCTTGGTTTCCTTGGAGTATGGTGGCTGTTGGATTGCGGGGATTCCAACAAGCGAGTGAAACAAAGCCATGCAATATATTTTTTTGACCTGGCTGGTTTACCTACTTCACGGACCAAGTGACCCATCAATTGTGGAAATCCGTCTTTCATCAATCTTGCTCCCATCAGAGAAGCGTTCGGGTTGGTAGTCTACGACTTTCCCACCTGGTGGATGTATCTTTCACACATGGGCAGCTTCACCAGACATCCACAACCTCGATGAAGTGCTTGAATCATAGGCTCGCTCACCGCGGCAGATGTAGCTGAACATTGCCATGAAAATCCCACCGTAATGTCCACTGGGGTCTCTAAAGTTTCTTTGCTAAAGTCTGAACAGACTGTGGATGGACGAAATCCTGCATTACTTGAGAGACCATGGAATGATGCTTCCCCTGTAAATACCAACTAACCGTGGCTTCAACCATGGTTTTAAAGTGGTGCGCACGGATTTCGTCCATCCACAGTATGATCTGGGCCAAAGACTTGCGAAGCCGTCCGTGGAAGCATGTGTACCTATTGCCCGCGCCTTTCGGCAGGGATGCTGCGCCAAGAGCTAGCCACAGGTAAGATGAAGCCCTCTGCGTGTTTAAGCCGCTATTCCTTAAACACTGACGGTTTCACTACCCACAGTGTGCAAGATGCTGGTTTGGGCCAACAATTCCTTAAACAACCACTATGGTTCAGGTAACCTTTAGTTGGTGGTTTGGATTGGTTCGGGTATTACCCCTGGTTCTGTGGGGTAAAGCGACACGCCAAACCACCATTGATCCAAACCATCCATTGGAAGGAAGCTGAATGTTCATTGGGCTTAATTGTTGAAACAATTGATTTATTCTTGAAGCCCGAGCTTTTTTCTCCACGTTCTTGTGTTTTCCCTTTGAAGTGATTGCCAGGGGTGATGCGAGGCCATCTGGCGCAAAGGCAACGTGCAGCTCGGAGGCCAGTCCTTTGGTGACGTGACCTTCGGCGTGCTGGGGGAAACCCAAAGCTTCGGCGGCAACGCGGGCGGCCCCAACTTTGGGCTGATCAAAACGGCTGCGACGCAAGACGCGGAGAGACTTCAGCGTTTTGTTTTTTGGTGTGTTGTTTTGGTTTGGATGTTGGCTATTTTCATGTTATTTTCATGGACCCCAAGGGAGGCTATGAGGGGGTGTGTTTTGGTATGTTTGTCACTTTCGCGGACCTCTGGGGTGGGTCCTATCCCTAGATAAGCGTAGGATAAGCCAAGGATAAGTTCTAGCTTCGTTACTGTAGCTGTGAACGGGAGCGAACTTTCTAGGGGTTGATTCCCCATTCTGTTCAACCATTTTTTTTCTTCGAAAACCAGCTGTTTCCCATGGTTTCTTGTGGTTTTCTAGAAAGCAGGATCCCCTTAGAAAGAGTGGACATGGGGAAGCTCTTGATAGAAACTTATCACGTTTTGCCCCTTTTTCAAGACGTGGGTATGGGTCAAAATTAAACCACCCGACCACCGCAGGTGTTCTATTTCTGCCTCCATTTACCAGGGTTCCCTTTTGGGGTTCCTATTAACTCATGTTTTCCCCAAGACGTGCAGGAGATCCGCCCCACCTTCCTGGGGCAAACGCCCTTCAGCAGCTTGGCCTTCGACTTCAGGGACTTGGCCCGGCCAGTGCTGGAGCTCGCTGAGGCGGGTGCTCCCTCCAAAAGTGGTCTGAATCCAACCACTAAAAGGAATTGGACACCCCCCAATCAAAATCAACCAGGGGTTTATTAATCCGGGGGTAACATTACCCTCCCACCAACTAACATGGGTTAGCGCACAAAGCCCCCTTCCAAGAGGGAAGTAGTGTTTCTGCAGGGGTTTTCTGCACTTCCATGTTGGTGGCACAGACCTCTGTAGAAAGACGACTTCCCTTTTGCTGCTTCCATTTTAGTTGGTGGGAGGGTACCTGTGCAACGGTTTTCCATCGCTTCTTTCAATAGCTTGGTCTTGGCCTTTTTGTTTTGCCGTTTTTGTTTTCCATCCCTCCTTCCAGCAGCTTGGTCTTGCATGTGTTGTTCAAAGAGCAAAAAATGGTTTCCACCATTTTCCCCCGGCAACAAGCTTGGTTTCTTTTGATGTTTGCCGTTTTGACTTTATATCATCCCCCCCCAACCCCCCTGCCCCGCAAAAAGAGCAACGGGTCTCGGATCAGTTCGCGTCGTCCAGGCCGACAGGTCGATAGCTTCGAGCCACGTGGGGCTGATCGACTTGCGGAGCTTTGGCGCGGGGGTGGAGTACTACGCCGTGGAGCTGAGGGCTTTGTTGGTGGATGGGGCTCCTCGGACGGAGCACCCGGAAACTCTTCACCCAAACCTCTGAAGGTGTTCCTTTTTTTTTGGGGGGGGGGGTCGGAAGGATAATTTTCCCTTTAAAAGGAAACTACAGACGCAAAACAGGTACCCGTTAAGAAGGGCGGTTGGGGGGGTTGAACCGTTCGTTTTGAATCCAAAGGTAACGTCCAGACCACCACACCAATCCAAACCAGTCACGATGGCCACCGGTCTGGGAACTTCCATGGCTTGGATCTTGTGCCCGATCCATTTGAGGCTTAAGGCGTTGCCCCAAGTTTGGGATACAAGCGGAAACTCCTTCAGTTGGGGATGTGTGTCAAAATCAGGGGACCCACCCCCCCCCCCACCCCAGTGGTCTCCTTCAGTTGGGGATGTAAAATCAGGGGACCCCCCACGCCCGAAACAAGAAAGTAGTTTCCTTTCTCTTGGTTTGCCGTTAAACCAGTCCAAGGGGGCCCTCCCAACAGACCCCATATCCCCGCCAAAAAACAACTCAACGAGAAACAAGCAACAAACAAGAGCAATACGGGCCAAAAACAGAAGCTGCCCCATCCTTTTCCAGGCAGCAAACAAAAAGAAATTCGGGTGTTCCAAGGTTTCCCGCGTTTCCCGGGGTTCCAACGCAGAAACTCAAATGACATCCAAGCCCGACTGGGGCCAGGTGGACATCTTGCCGGACGCCAAAGGCGTGGTGGGGATCCTGGACACCGGCACCACGGGCCTGGCGCTGCCCAGGGACTTGTTTGTGGCCTTCGATGCGGTGAAACGGGCGACGGCGCAGCAGGCGATTTGGGGAGAAGAAGGAGAGGTGTGCTTTTGATCGGTTGAGTCAAAATGGACTGGGTTATTTTGGGTGATGTTGGGGTATTTAATTGCTTTTGGGTTATTTTTCAGGAAACCATACAGGATGGTTCATAGGGGTCGTTCCCTCATTATCCCTCATTCCTTGCTGAGAACCAGCAAGTTTTGAGAGACCCGCATACATGAACATGAAGTTTTGGCTGCTCCATTGGGCAGTTTTTTGTTTTTTACATGATGGGATCAACCCCACGTCCCCAGGTTGGCATCAGGGCTGCCGGCAATGTGGAGGCACGCATAGGCAGGGGATGCAGAATCGATGCAACAGGGGTCCCTCCATGTTCCTTTTGGGCGGTTTCAAGCATCACCTGTTTGGTCCGTTTAGGGCGAGTTTTCCTTCGTAGGTTGTTGTAAGGACAACTATACAAGCCCGTTTCAAACAGAAGGACGTCCTTCGTTGGGAGATACATGATCTGCCCTGCTCCTTGGGAAGGTTTAGAGCCCTTGTATGCACCGCTCATTGGAATCCTGGAAGGTTCTCACAGCTTTCCTGGGCAGGGGGGGCGGCCTTTATGTTTTTCCCTAGGCAAACCAGGAAGCTTTCGAAATGCCTATGGTTTCAATACGTACCCTCCCTTCAGCAGAAATCGGACGCTTTGGACGACTACTTTCCTCTTGGGGTTTGGCCCGTCCAATTCCACCAGACAGAGGGTGCTGCAGAACACGGAACTGAAGAGGCAACGGGAGATTCCTCAAATGCAGGCCTTGCGTACCCCAAAACACACATTCCCAACAAAACACATGCCCTAAAACACACACACACACACACATGCCCTAAACAAATGGATGGCTTTTTTTGGGCTCCCCTGAAAACAGTACGAAAAGGGGCACCTCAACGAAGCACGCTTGCCAGGCTCTGACGTAACGCTCCACCTGCGGCGTGGCCGCGTCGAGGGCCTGGGCGGTGTTTCCGTGGATGTGGTGACGCCTTTGGAGGAGGATGCCGGCAGCGTCTTCCTGCGCGCGGAGATGGCGGCTTGGCAAGTCAGGTACCCCAATAGAATTGGTCGTTTGGATTGGCGGTTTGGAGGCTTGAAGCCGTGGCTCTAGAGGGTAAATGTGGTTTCCCACCTTGGTGTCGATCGACTGGGGGTTTGAACCCCTTGTAGAGAGTAAATGGGAAACCACCCCTTAACCAATCCAAACCTCCGGTTAGTGGGAAGCTGAGCAAGGGAGCCAACTGATGGGAAGCCTGGGAGGCCATTTTGAGCCCTTGGGTCATGCCGCAAAGCCATTCACCCTGAAACATGAAGGGGAAGCCAGATCTTGGTTCTATTATTGCTTCTATTTGCGGTAGGGGGGGGGGTCCAAGTAAAGTTAACTGCAAAACATGAAAGATAATCACTTTCGGAGTTTGGGAATTATCCAAAGCATATCGCAGTAATCCCGAATCCCAACTGACCATGCCGTGCAAAAAATATCCCAACTTCGTATCCCAAGAAGAGGGATCCTCTAAAGACTCCTTTGCCTAGCACTGGCGCGAACCACCGCGTCGGCGCGCACTGGTTCCGTGATGCGAAGCTGTCCCTGGAGGCCATTGTGACTTGCCCATTCGTCCATAATTAGAAGAGGATTGCCCTCTGGCGTCCCTGGCAAAGAGGAAGGAACTCCTTCCCCTTTTCTTCCCCGCAGCAAGGTGTTATGAACCTTGCGCTGTGGCCTGGATGTTTCCCAGACTTGGGAGATCTGGGTGTTGTATTCTTGGAAGGCTGTAAGGACTCCGGATTGGATTGTTGTCGCCCAAAACCGCCTAGGGCAACTGGGTGTTGTTTCTTTGTGGCTTGCTGCCGCCACCAACAACACCACAACAACCACAACAACCAGAATGATACGAGAACGCTCGCCTTTGCCTCATGCTTTTTGCCGGTACCAAGGCAGACGCGCGGAGAGGCCAACCGACAGAGAGACCCTTGGTGGTCTTCTTGGGGCTGGCGTTCCTGCTGGGTCTGCGCCGCTCGGCCGGCCAAGTGGCACCGAATGGCCTTGCGGGGGAACGAGGCCACAAAGAAATAGAACCTAAACAAGTTGATTCCCCCAAAAAATGAAAGGCCCGTTGTCCCAAGCCATGCTTTTCTGCTCGATGAACCGAAAAGTGCGCGGTCCTCGGATGACAGGGTGTTTTGTTTTTTCAATCTGTTCAGAGGAAGGCGCTAAATTGCGACGTGTTTTAAATCTGCGCTCGTTTGCGGATAGCTGCGCTGGTTTTGCGGATATTTGCGTTTGTTTTGCACTTCGATTTCTGCTCGCTCCTTTTTATCTTGAAGGACCGATCCGCCCGGTTTTGGGAAAACACGTGCGAAACAGGTAACAGTGTACGCTTGCCATATTTTGGTGACGACCCTTGGTCTTGCACTACGAGTGGGCTCAGGGCAGAAATTTAGGCAACGAAGGACGCTCCAGGTTGGTTCGGAACTCGCATATTCGAATTGTGTCTTGGTGATGCTGGCGTTTTGAAATGCATTTTGCTTTCTACATGGTTATGGGTCAAAAATGCGTACCCAAAATGGATCCCTGGACTAAAAACTGTGGTCCCCTGGTAGTTGTTTTTCGACCCATGCCCATATTATCCGTCACCTTTATTGTTAGGGGTGAGGGTTAAACGGCAACCCGTGCGACTGTTCTCTTGATTGTGGGACCTTGAGCTGCAGGACTGACCAAGTCGAATGGCATTGGCCCGTATATATACATATATATATATATATGTGTGTGTTTGTGTTTGTATATTCATCTCTTGAACGATGTGCTGGTTTGTTCCTACCAGGGTTCCATTTGTTGACTACCCCAAGGTAGACTTCAGTTTTGCTTTTGGGGAAATCAACCACCGCTGGGTTTAAGTCCACCTTGGGGTTGTCAGAAATGGACCCCTGGTGCCCAAGAAAAAGTGGAAGATGGGAAGCCGACAAACCTATCAGGCAGGCAAGGCTGAGTTCGTTCAGGCTTAACCTGCCACACAGGAACCCCAGAGGGTCCCTTGGTACCTTCTAAGGAGGTACTTAGACCCCCTTTTACCCCCCAAAAGCCATCCTCAGGAGGGTTCTTGGACCCTCTGCGAACCGTTTTCCATACATTCCCTCGAGAATGATCTGGAGAAAGTGGCGAAGACACCTCCAAAAATTGGCTGCGGTTCCACGAGCCATGTGTTTTTGCTGGGTGGGTCTCTGTGTGTCCTGAGCCACTAGTGGCGATTTCATGCTTTTTCCCATGTGGCTGTGGGTCAAAGCGAATGGGATCCAATTTTGGGATAGGTGCACCACCCATTAGTCGAATTTTGTGGGGATTGGGATGTTCACTGGGGGTACGGGATTTTGACCCATGGCCATGTTGGTTTGGTTGCCCACGACCAACAGAAGGGTTCCCTTCTGAGCTGGGCAAACAGAGCATGCTTCCAATCCCTCACACGAAAACAATAGGCCAGTTGGTTGAAAGGCAGCAGCTGGCTGCCAATTCTTTGGGATCGGGGAGCCAGCCCGTCTTACACGGTTTTCTATTGAACGGGTTCCAGCTTGCACCAAAGGATAACCGTGTGTGTGTGTGTGTAGCATCTTAGAACTTATTTCTTAGAACGCATCTGGGTTTGTCTTTCTTTTTGTGGGGTACCCCATTGTTGGTGTTGTTTTAAAGACCAACCACTATCTTTGTCATTCTTTCTTTGGGGGGAGTCCGTAAATTCAGCCACCACCATTTAGGCTCACCCAACACAGACTCGTTGGGGTCGGATTCAGGGCAGTTGCCACTTCTCATCCCAGGCGTGGAGATCGACACAGTGAAGAAGCACGCAGCCTTCCTCACGTGACTGCCCCCGAAAAAGTCGCGAGCAAAGCGAATCGATCGGATCTGACCTCTTGGTTCCCCTTTCGGGCAACGTACTATGTTTGGTCACCGCGAAAGGTACTTGTTCTTTCTGCGTCCGATAGGGGCAACTGGGTCGAATTCTACACCCGATGTTTAAAGCTCACGTACGGGCGATCCCAAGATGTGGGGGGATTCTCAGCTTCGGCTGGGGGTCAGTGCAGGCAACAGGCCCTAGGGGCCTCGCAAGCCTTGTTCCACAAGATCCTCACCTGTCCCGGAGCCTCCCTGTGCTTTTGTTACAATGGAATTCCGGATTGACCGACACTCCATTTTTTTTTAGACGAGGGATCGCACAAGAATTCCAGCCTGGCAGTCATGGCAGAAACCCGCGCAGCCATTCCTTTCACACCAGTCTGGGGAATGGGCAGGGCCCAAAAACAAGATGGACCTGGCAGGCCGGGCGGTCTCGAGTCGGCAAACCGCGGTGTATCTTAGTGGGACACCTGTTTTTGTGGCGCTGAAGGATACCCAAGAAGAAAACCACCATTTCTTTTTTTGTGGGGGGGGAGGTCGCCTAAAAAGGACAGAGCCACGTAGTTATACGAAGTGGGCATGTTGTGAACCCATGCTCATGCTCACCCATCAGGCGAGCCAGTCTCCGTCAAGAGGCTGGCAGAGCTGACGGGCCGCCAAATAGCAGATCCTTGGAATGGGGCTTACAAGCTCTATGACTGTTTGATAACGGATCTTTGGACTTTAACTTGTTGGTTTGAACTTTGTGGATTTCCGGAGTGACCCCCCAAACCGGGTGGTCCCTAACCAGAGCAGGGAGAAAGCATGTCGCAGCTTCACCGTCGTTGGCGTGAGGTTTGCTCCCTACCCAGGACAGACAAGATTGTAAGACGGTTCTTGGTCAGGAGCGATGCCTGCTTGGGTGTGCGAATTGGATGCTACGATTTGCTGACCATGTTTGTGTAGTTTCGCAGCCTGCTCGCATGGAACCAGACAACTCGTCCACCAAGAATAATTGCTCTACACATGATGGTTGCTTGGGTTCCATGTGAATTCGCGGGGGAGTGCCCTTCCAAACCTGCAATGTTGCTTGCTGTTCTGTAGCCGACTTCCAGTTTGCAGTTTGCTTGGCACTTGCACCGGCTGCCGCGTTTGTTGTGCTTGCAAAGCCGCGCTCTTCTTGTCACATGATTCGATGCAATTACACGAGCTGATGTCCAGTTGTTTCAGCCAGAGTCTTGCTTCAATCACTGCTCAAAACCTGGAATGCCACGAAAGCTTGCTTTGTGTTGGATTCAGGCCACTCGAGTGACAAGCAGGGTCGGTCCGACGGTGTGAATCCAGAGCATGGCCCCTGGGGGTCGCGCCATGCTTGCGGATTGCTCCTTGGGACCAGGGCAATAAGCGCCCACTAGCTAGCGCCCTGCGGCGGGACGTATGGAGCGCTACCATGTTTTGCACTGCATCTTGGATTTTCTTGGCAACGTTGGTTCTATGCGACCATGTCTGTTTCACACGCTCGTTTCTTAGGTTCTTGTTTTCGATCTGTCAAACTGGAACTTATTCTGTCACTATTTGCTTTGGCAAGGTTATGCATGTTCAACCGGTTTTCTTTCCTTTGAGTTTTTGTCTTGTGTAAAGCGTGGTGGCTCGGCCACCAATTCATGTCCATTTGTTCCTCCCAGGTATAGGCCAAGGATGCTTCGGCAAGGTCTTCAAGGGACGACTCCGGCATACTGGCAAAATCGTGGCGATGAAGTTTATTTCCAAGCGCGGCAAAGCAGAGAAGGACCAAGAGAACTTGCGGCACGAGATTCGGATCCTGCAAAGGTTCCTCGCTATCAATGCCTGGCCTTGGTTGAAAGGTGTTTTTTGTGTTTGCTTGCTGTGCTTGTTTCGTTGCTTGCTTTATATAGCGTGGCTGGCATCAAAGTGAGAGCCCAGTGGATCACCGCCCTTGAAGCCATCGATAGGTTGGATCACGAGAACATCATCCGGCTGCTGGACTGGTTCGAGACGGAGAGCGACTTTGTGGTGGTTACGCAATTCGCTTCTGGCGGCGATTGGCAAGCCATTTTCATGTGGCCATTTGATATAGAAGAGCTCCATGAGTTTACACCAGGTTCTTTGCCAGAGACCCACCTTGTTGTTCACCCTAATAAGACCACCCTTGGAAAGATGTAGGACCGCCTTGCATACCACAAGCAGCCCCGCTTGGATGTTCAGTCAACATCAGGCAAGCAGGTTTTCATGGGTGATGGCCGGTGTAAGTCGGGTTAGTCCACCTACAACCATGGGCAAAAAAAGAAAAACCCTCACCTGACGTTGCTGGCATTGATGGGCCACTTCTCAGCTGTTCGCCTTTCGACGGAGGCTTATGGTGAGCTCTTCGAGATCTTTCAGGACGACAAGCGCCTGCCGGAAGCTGAAGTCCGCAACATCGCGCGGCAGCTGGTGAAGGCTTTGAACTACCTCCACTCGCAGAAGGTCATCCACAGGGATATGAAGCCACCTGACGTTTAAAAAAACAAAAATCACAGGCCTAAACCGTACTGTGGGGTGGCTTGCTGGTTTATTGGTCTAGTTTTCAGTAAAGGTCCCCAAACATATTGGTACACTTGTGTGGCAGGCGCTGGTTTGCCGGACTGTTGAAGTCTAGTTTTTAGGTTCAGGTCCCCAACAAAAATGGTTGACTGCTTTTTGGCCGGGCCGTTTGGACAGCTGAATCTGTGGCTTCTTGGTATGGAAACCCGCTTGCTTGGCACGGGCAACACCCTCCTGCGTTTGTTTGCTTGGCCTCCCTTTCAAAAAACATCCAAGCAACAAATACCCGGAAGGCGGCCTACGTTTGGCCACGCTGGTGGTGTTATGTGGTCTTGGTCACATCAGACTACGCCGTTTGGCGCTGATTCTCCTTTTTATATCCTTGCCCGCTGGTGGGCAACGATCATCGGTCTATTTGGACAACCTGCACGTAGATGCACATTAGGTTTACAAACGTGTATCTATACACATAAAGGTGGAAAAAGAACATACGCATGTATAAATATTATACATATGTATTATTATGTATTATTAATCTATATCTGCACCAGCTTCTTTTCAGTGCCCTCGATTCATTTTTTGGGTGCTATGATCCATTTTGAAAATAAGGGCACTTAGTCCTAAATCAAAGAGGTCACTTAAGCCATTTAAAGGGCACTTACACCCGCAGGGTTGCCCTCCCCAGCAGATCCCTCCTCAGCCCGGGCAAGTCGAGCCGCAGCGACACGTGAATGCGAATGACACTCACACGGGGGCGGGACCGATGCTGGGCAAATCGAGCCACAGCGACACGCTAATGACACTCACGCAGGGGGGACCGACACTAGCGTAAGTGACCTTTTCAAGGGGTAAGTGACCTCGATTCGCACCCCCAATGACACTCAAATGACACACTTTGACACTCAAAAAGCCAGGTTCGGGCTTTCGGGTCGGAGCCAATCAAATGTGGCAATTGTCACGCTTCGACGCGGGTAGCTCTTTGATTTCAACAGAATCCCAACTCCTGTCAAGCCAAAAAGAACACTTAACAAACGAATCAAAGGGGCACTTAGGCCACCAAAAACAGGCCAAGTACCCTCCATTGGAGGGCACTAACAATATGCTGGTATATGTATTTATTCATGTATATATTTACGCATCTAGGTGTTCCCTACATGGATTGTAAAGAGATATCCACGCACAACAAAACATGAAGAACACCAATTTATACTCCTCACAGTAGATGTATCCAACATCCCTGGAATCACTGGCTGCATCCTGTCAAGACTTGACCTCCTCCGTTGTTCGGCTAACTTGGTAGACCAAACACCCTTTTCACACCTGTGTTTTGATGATTGTCAGCCACCAAAGAAGGTTCCTAGGTTGTTTGGGTGTTTGTTGGGCGCAAGCCAGCCGCACTGAACTTGGCGAATCGATCCAAGAAAGGCGGTTTGGTTTGGTGGTTTCGACGTACCCTGCCAACATGGAACCTGATGTCCGGGATCCGGTCCCTTTACAAGGAAGATGGGCCAGGACCCCAAAATGTCAGGCTCCATGTAAATAGGGAGCAAATTGGGTTCCAAAATGTGCTTTTACGTCAATTTTCCGAGAGCTGGAAGCTGAAGGAAATGTCATGGGGGTTCGCCGCAAAAAAAAGTCCTCCATGTTGATCCCTGGAAACTACAGGAAATCAAGGGGACATATAGGAAGCTCATGGCTTGAAACGTCATTTTGATACCTTCCGAGGCCAAGCCCAAAGGCTCCATGTTGAGAAATCGCTGATCCGAGGCCGCAGAACGTCTTGGTGAGCTCCAAGGGTCAGGTGAAGCTCTGCGACTTCGGCTTCGCGCGGGCGATGAGCGCAGACACCGCGGTGCTCACCTCCATCAAAGGCACGCCCTTGCGCCTTAGACACGTGGGGGTTGCATGGACTCCCCATAGGCCTTAGACAAGCGCCACAGCGGTGTTTTGTAGGGAATCCCCCCCAAGAGGAAAAAAAAAGCAGAACAGGACACCCTGAGCGTGCGCTTTTCTATGTTTTTTAGTAAACAAAGCAAAAAACTCTCCAGAAGATGCGCCCCTGGCGGTAGGATTTTGAGCTGCCAGTCTTCATTTGTCCATCACACATCACGCGTGTTTGGGAGGTGAGCTTTGGGTTGGTAGACCAGTGGGATTCCGAATAGATCTGGAGGGGCAATACGTGGCACGATTCCCCTGTTGTGTTTGTGGGGTTGCCGTTTCCAATCATTTTGGGGAACGCCCCTATTTTGTTTACCTTTTGTTGAGGCGCAGTACCCCTTCAAACTTCTTAGGGGAGATTGAGCGCCCCCCCCCCCCCCCCCCCCGCATGTTGGGGGATTCCCACGCTATAGGAACTCTTCATTTCGGTTTGCTCATTCCCTTTACTTTGCGACAGGGAGGGGGGGAATTGCGAATCCCTCTTTCAACTTTCACCCTGGTGTAGCTTGCCTTTTTAACTTTTTGCCTTTTGGTTTGCTCCCGTTTGCCTTTGTTTCAGGCGGCTTGAGAAAAGGCCAGACGTAGTCGACCAACCCGGTGGATCCGAATCGCACGCAGTGTTCCTTGAGTTCCCTTTGAACCAGCAACAAGGAGGGCTGCTGGGTCTACATATGTGGCAGTGGATTTTTTTGAGGGGTCTGTAACAGAGCCGCGGCGGACATTCGTTACAGACCTCGTTACAGACCTCTGTAACAAGACCAGCTGGCTCGTTACACACCCCTCGTTACACACCCCTCGTGGCACACCCTCGTTACACACCCTCGTTACACACCTCAGATGAACAAACCGGGCCAGTGACATGACTGCCCTCTTTTTGCCGCAGCCTGGCTTGTGTTGAATAGCTGCAATAGAGCTGGAGCTGCGGAGGCGCTTTGCGTACTGTGCTTTGCTTTGCCTCGTTACAGACCTCGTTACATAGCCGTTACATACCTCGTTACAGACCCAACCCCAGCCCGGGCCAGCGACCCTGCTTTTTGCTGCAGCTTTGCTTGCGTTGAATAGAGCTGCGGAGGCGTGCTTTGCGTGCTGCGCTTTGCTTTGCCTTGTTACAGACCTCGTTACATAGTCGTTACATACCTTCTTACAGACCCAACCCCAGCCCGGGCCAGCGCCCCCCCCTTTTTGCCGCAGCTTGGCTTGCGTTGAATAGCTGGTGCTGCGGAGGCGCGCTTTGCGTACTGCGCTTTGCTTTGCCTCGTTACAGACCTCGCTACACAGCCGTTACATACCTCGTTACAGACCCAACCCCAGCCCTGGCCAGCGCCCCCCCTTTTTTCGCCGCAGCTTGGGTGCGTTGAATAGCTGGTGCTGCGGAGGCGCGCTTTGCATACTGCGCTTTGGTTTGCCTCGTTACAGACCTCGTTACACAGCCGTTACATACCTCGTTACAGACCCAACCCCAGCCCGGGCCAGCGCCCCCCCTTTTTGCCGCAGCTTGGCCTGCGTTGAATAGCTGGTGCTGCGGAGGCGCCTTTGCGTACTGCGCTTTGCTTTGCCTCGTTACAGACCTGGTTACATAGCCGTCACACACCTCGTTACAGACCCAACCCCAGCCCGGGCCCAGCGAGCGACCCTGCTTTTTGCCGCAGCTTGGCTTGCGTTGATGCGCTCCTGATTCTGCTTGTCAGGATTTTTCCCGTTACAGACCTGCGTAACAAGGACCTCCGTTACAGACCTCCGTAACAAGATTCGTGCCGCGTCGCGCGTTACAGACCCCTAAAAAAATTCATAGCCATGTATGTATATATATATATATTTGTGTGTGTGAATAATCATATATATATATATGTATGTATATATATGCATATGTTCTCTTTCGTATATATATATATATATGTCCTATCTTTCGTTGGTTTCAAACATGACATCCCAGGTGAGCTTCCCGGACTGATGCTCGTCAGATCTTTTCAGGATAAATCTAGAACCCCGTTGAACCAGAAGACCGGGAACTGAACTGGACAGGTCGGAGCTCATGTTTCAGGTCGTTTTTCCGGTTGTTTTTTTTTGAAGTCTGTTCAAGCGTAATCCGCAAGATCCTGACCTTGGGATACGCAAGGGCTTTGCTGAGTGGTTTCCCTATAGCGATGATGGAAAAGCTGATTGGCGAACCCTCCATTGTGAACAGCCCGGATTTTTTGCGTGTCCCCACTTTTGCCTGGCTTTGGGAAGCTGGAAGGAACATCGTGAAATCCCATTTTGAGTGTTTTTTTTCCTGAGACATCTGCAGCATTTTGGCATTTGGGGTCCGAGGTACATGGCTCCGGAGCTGGTCCAGGAGACTGGTAGTGGGAAGGGGGAAGGAGCCCAACAGCGATGCCCCCTCGCGTGTTTTGCCGGTCATGTCTCAACATGCTAGTCCTACCTTCCCCATTCTGTCCAGGGATCCTGATCTTTCTAGAAAACCTCCTGTGAAACCCAGGGGAACGGCAGGTTTTTGAACAGAAGGATGGTTGAATAGGGAATCCACCAGTAGAAACATGTTCCTCCAACAATGACTCACTGCCTGAGTTCCTGGACTTGAAATGTTTGGCAAGACCAGGATAAAAGTTAAGCAGACTGGTTGGCTTTTTGGCCCGCTCGTGAAGTGAGATGAATGTGTTTTGGGAGTTCACGTTGCCATCTACAAGGAGGCGACAAGGAGAACAAACCACAGAAACAAGTGAAAGAAGCACAAAAGACTTGGTGGTTCATACCAGAGATGGGCCACACATCTTGGGTTTGTCGGTGAAGCAAACTACTTGTAGAACGCCATACGCCTGGGGCATATGATGGCCCGCACAAAGCCGACTCGCAGAGATGCACAGCTGCAGCGAGCCAAACCCGAAGGGGGGTTGGAGGGAGGGGGGGACACAAAAGACCTAAAGAGAGCCAAGTGTGCACTGAATGGTGCTTCCGATGAACCAAATGGAAACCATGCAGCCAGGATAATCCAGAAGTTGTGCAAACCAAAGGTGCCAAGGAGGAGCCTAAAATGGGAAGCTTTCCCACGACAAAACCTTTTCCTGCTTGCGCATTTGCGCAATAAATAGACTGGTTCACCAGCTTTGTGGGAATGTGTTTTTGCTGGAAGGGTTTTGAGTGTGGAGATTTAAGCCCCTATTCTTGAACTTATGTTGTGTTTGAAGGGGCGGGCTGCACGTCAGTGAACTTGGCGCACCCACCAATTGGACGGAGGGGGATGGGGCTACTTTCTGTGCAGAGCTCCTGCAACGCACCCTCCCACCAAACAACATGGAGCCTGACAGGAAGTCCCTTTAAATGCTTCAGCTATTGGACTTCTGATTGGCTACTGGATCATATTACTGGTAAAGACCAACAAATCAAAGTGGACAAGTATCAATGCATTTGTAGTTGGTGATTATGAAACGAAAAATGGCTATCCCAGTCTCCAGTTATCACTATAGTAAGTAGCCAGGGTCTAGGGTTTACATGATAACTTCCTGTGGTCAGCTACCATTCCCTCCTATTTGTTCGTAAATAACACATCCCCCCTTTGGATTTAGTCTTTTACTTGTCCACACAGGGAATGACGCCGTCTCTTTTCCTGGCATCACGAATTTTGTGAGCCTAAGCCACGAGCCGTGCTCTTGACGGTTTTCGCTCTGCAGGAGCGGCCCTACGATCAGAGCGTGGATTTGTGGTCGCTGGGGGTGATTTGCTATGAGCTCTTCGTGGGCGAGCCGCCCTTCTATACGAAGCCTGGCGGCGAGAATGTGGTAGAATGCGAGAATGCGGTCTGCGACTGTTCGTCACTTCACACATGGGTGTGGCTCAACATTTAAGAGCTAGGGTTACGCAGGTGTTAGTCTTTGATTCCCATGTTGGTACATTTTTGAGCCATTGCCACCTGGCCAAACCACTATTTCAACAGCCTCGTGATGTCCCCTTCGCAAGAGTTCAGGGTCTGGCGGCGGTACCCTGTTTAGGCATCCTTCCAAATCAATGCCTCCCTGCTCCAGTGTTTGGCAGACAGCTTGTTCAAGGCCCAGCTTGGACGACAAAGGCTAAACCAAACTGCTGGGTTGGTGAGATCCCTGCGTGTGACAGGATCCATGTGAGCAACGGTCAATATTTAATGTACTGTAGCAAAGGGGATGGCATGGGGCAGACTCACCAACATATCATGCGGAAATTGGGTCAGAGACACACCACAGACGTGTGCCAAACAGTCGTAGTGCTATGCACACATGAGGACGGAATGACAACATGTAACATCCGTGATGTCATGATCGGCACCCTCAATCAGCAAATGTTTGTGTGTATTTGTTGTATTTTGCACGCACACATATATTCACATTCACTATAGTGCGAGAACAAAATGTGGGTTTCTGAGTTTGAATGTCCTGTCCAGTCGACATACATACTGTCATGGGTGCACCATGCTGTACCCGTAGCATTTGGAGCAGTGCCCACTTAAGTTTGAGCGCAGCCTCGGCGTCTCAAAGCGAAGAGAAAGAGAGGATTGCAGCTAGTGTAGATGCTAGAGAGAAAGAGGGAGAGAGAGAGAGAGACAGCGAGAGAGACAGAGAGCGAGAGAGAGAGAGAGAGGGAGAGAGGAAGAAGGAGTGGCATGAATGGTTCCAAATATTTGCCCTTGTCAAGGCTCTGAATCGGTAGAGTTATAGTTGTTGCACATCTCAGGAACTCCCTGATCTCGTTGATCCAGCTGATTGTGCGGAAGACGGTGAGCTATCCAGACTCCATGTCTCCGGCCTTCCGCTCTCAGCCCCGAATTGGGGGAACCCATGTTGTGGTGGTGCGTTGGAAAGGTGAGCGGTCATGCCTTGGGTTTAGAAATGGAGGGGTCATGGCGTGGCTTCTGAAACTGAGGAGACATCTCCAGGGTTAGGAGGGCCACCAGGGTTGAGCCCAACCCCTGGTTGAACATGTTTGACCACCTACTGTTGAAGTAACTTCCTTTGGGTTGCCCTTTTCGCGTGGGCCGGGGTCTGGCTTCAGCTCTTGCACAACCCTGCCTCCGCCTTGACTTGGCCATCCGCCGTTCGAAGCATTGCTTCACTGTTCTTAGCATGTGTTCTAGTTTTGGGGTTCTGCTCATTTTTGCTGGGCCAAACAGCTGAAGGCTATGGGGTCTTTCATGGGCTCTGGCAACTTTGCGGTGCTGTATTTGCTACCAGTGGAATAATATTTCCCTTGTAATTGCAAACGGACAATGGTTCTCATGGATTCAAAGTGGTGCGAAATGATTTCGTCCATCCAGAGTAGCACCTGGGCGGTTTGTTTGCTGCCAATGTTGCCCATGGCAAATCCACAGTGAGGAGGCAGCTAGCTTTATAGAGCAACAACGCCCAAAAAAAGGGGACGGACCCATAATCTTTCCCCAGACTCAGCTCCCCTTGTTCATTTTTTGCTTCTTGGGGTCCCCCCTTTGTTTCTGCTCACCAGACCCAAAAAATATCTCTGTTTTTTGGCCGTCCTTTTTCCAGCCAAGTTGCTCACAAGGCCAAACAACAAATCCTGTTTTTGGGCCGTCCTTTCTCCAGCCAAGTCATTTGCTACCCCCCAAACAAATTGCCAAACATCTCCCGTTTTTTTGGGCGGTCCGTTTTACACAGCCGCCGAATTTGCTGCCAACGGAGCGCTGGGTTTCTCGGCGGGGCAGAGGCTCCTTCTTGCAGGGCCTGCTGCAGAAGGATCCCAGGCGGCGCCTGGGCTGGCCAGAGCTGCTGACGCACCCCTTCGTGAGGGAGGAGCCGCCCAGTTTTCCACGTTCACCGGGGGTCGCGCGGGGATATAATATATATATGTGTATTTATGTATTTTTGTGTATGTTGCATGCATATGTATATATATGTATACAAATCTATACACATGCAACTATACATATGTATATATACATATATATATATACGTATATATACATATATATATATATATATATATTTGAATATATATATATACATATATATATATATGATGTATGTATATACATACTAGGTTTCTCAGTAGTGCCCGTTTACCCTTTTTGGGGGAAGGGCTGCCCATACTAAAAAAGACTACAGAAAAAGAGGTGCCCTTATTCTAACCTCTCTACTCGAGGACCTGGTACAAACACACACATATGTATATATATATACATATATGTGTGTGTGTGTTTATGTATGTATACACATATGTACATCTATATGGGTGTCTTTTTTTGAGGGTGCCCCTTTATGGGTGGGGTGTAAGGAAAACCAGAAGTTGTTAGGGTTATGGCTTGAGACAAACCCATACTTTTGAGATACCATGTCCACAAAGGCTTTTGGGCACCGGAATCTGAGCAATGCTTAGATACAATCCTGCAGATATCTCATGGAAACCACCACCATGCTAAGAGAAATCTTCTTTGGGGACCTGCCAAATCCTCAGGCTCCATGTTTTGCAGGGTAGTTGCCAGGCAGGGAATCCACGAATATTTCTTTGGGGCTGGTTTACTGGGGTATTGAGACATGAACGTTGGCTGGGTCCGCTAAAGGTTTAGTTTACTGGTTATGAACGATCGGTCCTGTCTGCACCCCGAAGGCCCGTAGGGAGAGGCATTTCTTTCTGGGATTTTCGGCTACAAGGCCCGCAGAATCCCCAAAGAGGGGTGGTTCCAACGAAAAGTTTGTTGGGGCATCTTCCATGCTGCGCGATAGGTTTCAAGCAGGCCTGAAGTCAACGCCCAAGACTATTGCTAAATATTTGCCATGTTAGTAGGTTCTACCACGGCAGCTGGAATATGGTCTGGCCTTTTTGTGCAGTGGCTATGCAGTATGACCATATTGGTCGAACGGTCGAGCCAAAATGGCAATCAACATTGCTTGTGGCTTTCAGTTGAAACCAAGAAGAAAACCACCCTTTGGTGGGTTCCCCGAAAAAGGACAAACCCACAGGTGGTGTGTTTCCGGGTTCCGTGTTAATCTCATGGGGGCTGGGGAGGAGGGAGGAGGGGGTGGAGGAGGGGGGGGGGAAGGAGCGCATGATAATCTGTGAAGTAAACTTTGCTGACAGTTGGATCGCTCCGTTTTGGTCGCTCCCGGCAGGACTCGCCGACGCGTTCGCCGAGCCAGCCGAAGCACTCGTCGCCGCTGACGCCCCCGCCCCCGCCCCAGGCGCGGCCGGCGCGGGCCCTGGAAAAGGAGCTGAAGGAGGTGAAGGAAGTGAAGGAGGTGAAGGAGGTGAAGGAGGTTAAGGAGGTGAAGGACCAGATCACGTGGCTGGTGTTTGGGGATAAGCTAGTGAGCAAGGGTTGTACATATATGTATATATATATATATATATATTTGATATATGTCGCCAAGAATATGTGTTTTGTTTACCCTTGTAGGGTTCAAAGGGAATCGATGCCACTACTGGACATATGTTCGCGTTTTGTTGTTTTTGTTGTTGTTTTTTTCTTTTTCTCCGGGGGGGCTTAAGCAATTGGAAGTGGGCGCTGTTTGGGGACAAGCTGGTAAGCAGGGGTTGTTTACCATGAGCAGGTGTTCAAGCACCCGCCAGCGGGCTGTAGCTCTCGCGTCTGCAAAGACACCGATTTTGTCTCATAAAACGAACTAGACAAGAAGGACATGGGCGGTTGTTGAAGACAAGGATGGGTGAAGCGAATCGGCAATCAATTAGGTGTTTTTTTCTTCTTTTCCTTCTAATTTCAGTGTCCCCTAGATGTGGGCATACGGTCTTCTCACTCCCTGAGTTCCTTTTCGTTTGATCCTCTTTGGAAAGACAGTTATTGAAGTGCACGGAAAGTCCAAATTGTTCTGGCCAATCTTGGCCAAAAAAGCAACTCCTGAGCAGGTCGTGCAGTTAAGTGAGGGTATGGCAAACAACTGAAGTGAAGGCCTGCAGGTCGGTTAATTCAAAACGAATCAAGGGCCTCCGATACTGACCTCAAAGCTCAGCTGAACCCTTGCCCACTTTTTGCTCCAGTTGAGCAAGTGCTGTAAGGCGGCCATGGAGGAATCACGTCCGGCTCAAGCCTCTGAAAAGGGTGCCCTCTCCCAGCAGATCTAAGTGAGGGGTGTGCCTTGAAATGAGGGGATTCCCCCCCTAAAATGATAGGTTTCCCTTGGTGTCCCTTTGAACCAACCTACAGCCAGGTGTCCACATCTGCCTTTTTGATCCGCACCTCAACATGGAATTTGGGGAAGGGTCGGCTGTGTGCTGACATGCCACGAAGATGCATGCCACAGATACCGCCAGTTTTCACCCATGAGGGCCAGCAGGTTCTTTTAACTGTTTTCATGTTAGTTGGGCTTTGCCGTTCTGGGCCCCTTTGAAGTGTTTGGGCAACTTGGACTCACTTGCCCCACGCCGATCTTTTGACCTTTTGGTTCGCTCCTTCGGTGCATTTTAGTCGTGGCAAAGGTTAATCTCTTTGGGGTGTGCCGAAGGGGCAACTGAGTGTTGCTTTTAGGTTCTAGTGCTTTCCCTTCCAGCTCCGAACTCTATCCATACTGTGGATGGGCGAAATCCATTTCGCACCACCTAACAGACCCTGGTTTGGAAGATTCCCCTGTGAATGCCCACGAACGTGATGGTTTCAACCACGGTTCTCAACAGGATGTCGCCTCCAATGCTTCCAGGAGTCTCCATCCGCCTACCCTGCGCGGCCACTGAGCGCCCCCACTCTCCAGCCACCGGCGCGGCCGACGAGGTGGGACGCCACGGCGCGCGAGGCCAAGGCAGGGCCTTGGACGTACGTCACAGGAACCGAAGCGAAGTCCCACTGGACAATATGTGCAACGAGCTCACCCGGTTGAGCTCCGCTAACCCAGAAAGCTCCCCTAGGTCCCGGAAGTACGGCCCTTTCTCACCCCATTGGGAGGGCGAGCCCCTACTAAATTAGACGTCCTGAAAAAAGGGTACCCTTATTCTCTCCTCTACTGGAGGACCTAGTGGACGTCACAGGAACAACCGAAGCGAAGTCCCAAGACACGGGCAAAATTACAACGCCTGGGTAAGCCGAGCTCAGCCAGAAAGCTTCCTTACTTGTCTTGGCGCTTTCCATCCATCCAGTTTTGTTTTGGGGGTGTTGGGGTTTAGTGTTTGGTTTTTATTGGGCCCACAAGTTGAACTTTTAGCAGATCTGAGCATGCTTGTGTGAAGTCGCCCTTGGGTGTCCCCATGCAGTTTTGGTCCCAAGCACATGTTCCAGTGCTTCTGGGAAGAGGCATGTTATGACCAGTGCTGGGCTTCTCTTTTTTTAGTAGAGAATGAATTCTACTACCCAGTCCAAGCATTTTTGGGGCCAACTTCGAAACTGGAAAGTGCAGGGGTTTTCGGTGACGCTTGGGTTCTTTCCTGGCGCATTTTGCCAGCCCGCTAACGAGACCAAGGCTTGTCCAAAATCCAGAATCCACTGTGATGAGGCGGCACATGGCGCACTCATCCCCTTTGTTGGGCGGGGCTTTTTTTTGCCGTTTTGCCAATATTTTTAAATCGGAAAGACGCTCGTGGCAACCCACTATATGTTTGCATGTGCCAAGCCCACATCTAGCAGTCACAGCAGTTGCCACAACTTGCCAAAGGAAGAGATGAGCCATAGATCTTGCTCGCAGGCTCTCGTGAGATCTGCACAACTGTGGAATTTCTGAGCAGGGGGGATGAGATGCATCAGATGTGTCCGATTCGCAGAAGGCAGTTCGGGCGGGGCATGCCAGCAGGAAGCGCGGGAGGCCAAGGAGGCCAAGGAGGCCAAGGAGGCCAAAGAGGCCAAGGACCGTTGGTGACCAATCCATTTCGAGCAAAGCCCAGAGAGGTTCTTCCGGCTTTTTGTGGTTTTGTGACATGTGCCAGGCGGTGGAGCCGTTTTTGGAGGGGCAATAGCTTCAAAGGTCAGCTCTTGAAAACCCGACTTTGTGATTTAGACATGTACCTGGTTGAACCGTTTTAGAGGGGCCACTTCAAAAGTCAGCTCTTAGAGAACCGAAGGAGGCCAATGCCAAGGAGGCGAAGTTGAAGGCGGAGGCACGCCGGGTCCTGGAGCCCTTGCTGCCCTTTCTGGCGGAGGAGCTGAAGCGGGAAGAGGACCATAAGGCGCCGACTGGAACTCACGCCCGATCGAGTTGGACTTGAGTCGCTTTCTGGGCTTGGGAAGACTTTTTTTAATGGTCAAACAGAAGTTCAGACGACTTTATTTGTTTTTCTGAGCTTCTTGTGCCTTCACAAAGTGGCAATTTTCTTTGGAACCTCATCAACTTTTGAAGTCGCTCCTTGGTTTCCGTTTCGGACTTCAGTCACTCTCTGGGCTTGGACCATTTTAGTGGTAAACAAAAAGTTCAGACTTTTTCTGGCCAATCCACTCAGGAAGTGACGTTTTTCTTTATTATTGACATCCTAGTCCCTCCATGGGTGCGTTGGCTTTCGGAGGGTGCTGCTGGAGATGCGTTGCTTGGGTGCGCAAGGCACGCCGGTGGAAACTTGCCCTCAGTCCGCGGAAGCACCCCCGTGTAGCAATCATTCTGACTATGACTGTCTGACTTGAAGCGCCTAGGGCAGGAGGAGCATTGCAGTCTAGGCATGGTGCATTCGAACTTATGGCTATGCTTTCAATTCACGGGGTGCCAGCAGGAATCGATCACAGAGTCGCATGCTTCAAATGGTTGCTTCAGGATATGGCTTCGGGGTTTCTCACTGCTTGACATTGCCAATCCATCGTTCTCCTTTGCCCGAAGGGTGCCCCAATGAGCCTTACTCTGAACAAGCCTGCCTAGACCTTTCGCAGCAGGTGTATCCGACGACGCTCTTCGGATTATCACAGGACTTAAGCTAACATGATGTTTAGGAGAGTCTCCTGCAAACCTAATGCTAGTCCAATTTGTGGCATACATTTTGGAACCAAGTGCGGCACATTGGAGAATTGTCTTGGTGGTTCCCAGCCATCCTCTTATAAGATCTTAGTTGTTCAGTTGGTTCAGTGGGGGGGTTCCATTTGAACTTTTTTAGCGGGGGATCTGAAAACGGACCGCCCAGTTAAACTTTAATCGAAACAGGCGCAGGTCAGGAAGCATTGCCTTCAAAAGGCGCAGGTCCGTAGTAGTTTCAGCTGGCCTGTAGACAGCCCAGTTGCGGGCTTTTTGGGGTTCTCGCCAGGACCCGTCGCGGAAACCTTTGGACGGCGTGGTGGCGAAGGCGGCGCAGCAGCCGTCCACTGCCAAGGGCCCAGCGCCCTTCGCCAAGCGCCTGGGCGTTTTTTGTTTTTTGTTTTTTGTTATTATTATTATTGTTATTGTTATTGGTATTGGTATTATTATTATTCTTCTTCTTCTTCTTATTATTATTATTAATACTTAATGTTCTTTCCTTTTTGTGTGTTTTGTGTTTGTTTTTTCTCAGACGGAATTAGCCTGGGTCAGGTACACTCCCTCAACAGCCGGAAGCTCCCAGAAGGCCGATCGATCCTGTAAATCGAGCTAAGTCTTCCAAAGGTCCTGTGAGCTTCCATGTTAGCCTGAGAGAGTGTAGCCCTTAGTTGGTGCTTTGGATTGGTGCCTCGGATTTAGATTTCTACCCGGGTCCCTGCGTTTTGTTGAGGGTAAATGGGAATCCCGGACTTCGGGTTGTTGGCGTCCAAAAGCCATGGAGAGTAGGACATTTAAGAATCTTGCAGCCCATAAACTGGACATTCTGTGGCACATGTCCAGTTTCCAGCTTTCATATTGACTTTTTTTTAACTGCCTCCCCGTTTCTTTTGTTTAGCATGTGTGCTTGTTTGAACCCCCTTCAACCTGTCATTCCCAAATCTTCCCTAGACCACGAGAAACTCTGACTGAACCTCATGTGTTGTCGCTCAGTGGGATAGGGCTTTTCACCGACATAGGTCCTTCCCCCCCCCCCCCCCGTTCGGCATGTTTGGATGAATGGCCCATACCAGTGTTTTTGTTTTTCCAGTGTTGATGTTTTTGAGGCTGAATTTGACCCCCCCCCCCCCCGTGTCCTTTTCCGAATCGACCTCAAGTGTCCATCTTACTTCCCCCCGGCCCCCATCCCCCACTCGGCCATGGCCTCGCCTGTTTCCGGTTCTTCGCCTCCTCTCGCCTCCCCCCCGCACCACCCCCCCCCCCCCCGCCGATCTCATCTTCGCGGAGCCGAGGATGCTGCTGAGCGCCGCCTTTCAAGAGCCGGAGGCGGTCTTGGGCGTGCTGGGGCCCAGGGCCCCGGCCCCAGCGGTGGAGCTGGGGAGTTCAGAGGGGTGCCTTCGGTCCGGTGGGTGTTTTTGGTTTTACGAGCCTTGGAATTCCTGAGGACTCCCTATGTTTTTTTTTAAAACACGGGCCTCAGGGTTCCTGAGGAGAGATCCTTAAAGTTTTTTAGGGTTCCCTAGAAAACCTTAGGGTTGCTTAACGAGCCTTAGGCGTTCCTTAGGATTCAATCCTGGAGTTCCTTAGGTCAAAGATTTGGTCACGGGGTGACATGGCAAGGTGAGGCGAGAGGCCCGATTTCATCAGAGATCTTTTGGTTTCCTTTGGGAGTCTTATGGAACCTCCATTCTGGCCTTCATTCTGGCCGTCATTCGCCTTGCCCATGCGGCTGCGGGCGCTTTAAGACCATATTTTATTTGAGTTTGTATCCCATTTTATTTCCCTTGGGTCTCAGAATCCTCAGTTCCGTTTCGGGCTTGAAGCTTTTCGAGAAGACAAGTTCCTGGACTCTTGGCCTGATCCACTCGATCCGCAGTGAAGGATGGTTTTCTTCAGCGCCAAACTTCAAACCCCTCGAGAAATGTGCAGTTTCTAATGAAGATAATGGGGGAACAAAGGCAATCCTTTCCTATGGTGCATTTTGCTTGGCTGTTAGGACTTTGACTTTTGGCCAACTAATGGGTTTTCCACTAAACCACTAAAAGTTAAACTTTTAGCAGGGGAGCATAAAGCAACCAAGTTTCGTAAAGGTCCAAACAGTTAGCTTTTGCTTCCAGTTGGGCAAGGGAGTTGGAAGATCACGTTAGTAGTAAACAACAAATGGACTCTTAGGCCATAGGGCATGCGCACCGGAGAAGCTAATCCGGCTCAGGCAATCATTCAGTTTCTGGACATCTTCGTGGCCTGCCAGGCCCTTGCTTGAGACGATTGTTTTCGTCCGGATCCGTGACAAAGTTTGTTAACGCGAAGGTGCGCGAGTTTCGGAAGGTTGTTCAGAAACTGCTGGGCCCGAAAACGCCAAGGCGAATTCAGGTCAAAACCAATGGTACCATCTTGGGATAGGTGCACCACCCATTTTGGTCTATTTTGGTGGGGATTTGGATGTTCACTGGGGGTACGGGGTTTTGACCCATGGCCAAATGACTCTAGTCATTCATGTGGAGTCTTTGTTTCATACCATGCCATGTTGCGAGTTTTTTTTATCGCCACCGCATGGACCGATGGGTCAGACCAATGCCTTCGCGAGACTTGTAGCCAGCCGTGCGCGCAGCTCAGGCTTAAGAACTCATTCGTGATGATTCCTTCATGTCATAGGGCGTTTTTTTCTTTGTGGTTGGCGAGTTGCTACGAAAAGCACCCAGATAAATGGTTCGGGAGAGCTGTTTCTATTAGTGTGAAAGCACATGGGTCGTTGTGGTTGTTTAGATTCGGTTGCTGTATTCCCTTTGCTTGCCCACAGCACATCAATGCTGCCATGCATTTGGCCCAGTGCGCCGGGAAAAAGCAGATGAACAGATTTCAATTACTTCAAGTTCCTTCGTTTTCGTTTGGTCGACTGTGAAAAGGGCTCACTTGGCTGCACTTGCGGGCTTGTCCAGTGGTGGTATGCCCTTGCACTCCCTAGTGCTTCCCAAAGAAACGGGTTTGTTTCAAAATAAGGGAACCCGCAAAGTAGTTGGCCTCAAAGACTCACCCAAACGACGCTCAGTCGTCCCTGAGAACTTTACTCAAGACCCAAAACTCTTTATGAAGATCCTTTTTTACACGCGTGACGTTTCTACTACCGCTTTGGAACCAATCCACACCTCGTCTCGCTTGGCAGGCTCCTTTGCCCTCCAAATGCATACATTCATCCATTCATTTCTGAGAGTTTGCACTATGTACCCCTCTTTGGCAGCAATTACTCCTCAAACCAGCTCCTGGAACTGAGCTTGAGGAGGCCCCTTGCCCAAAAGCTTCTTCCAGACATGCGCCGTTCACCAGACTTCGTTCCTATCCGGCCACTTGGGGGCAGCTTCCTCGTGCCGTTCGGACTTCGTTTCCCACAGGTGCATCATGGTTCCCTTGGTGGCGATTCGCCAGCCATCCGGTTCCTTAGCTTTTTAGTGTTTCGTGGTTGGATGTCCGAACTTAACCCACTAAAAGTTTCAAACTTTTAGCGGGGGATCTGAGGGCAGAGTTCCGATTCGCCAGGACTTCCTGGAGCCCTCGGAAGCGGCGCTGAGATGCGCCCTGAAGGCGCTGTCAGCCCTGCAGTCCCTCGGTTCCCGGAAAATGGCCCCCCTCACTCTTTTTTTGGCTGAGACGGGGTTGCAGAACCCGGAAACAGGGCTCACCTGTAAATGTTGAATCTGTTAACTGGTACCAACTTGTGTTTATCTTCAAATGGTTGCTGGGACCGAAGAAGCGTTTAATCATAATCATTTCACGCCATAGAGGTCAGAACCGATCGGCGTTTGCTCAGCGACCAATAGGGGTTGTTGTTCACACGCCCAAAAAAGTGGGGTGATGCGGTCGAGTTAGTTCCAACCAAAAAGACCTGTCATTTGTGTCGACGTTAGTTCCAGGTTCCCTGATATCTTCGTAGTGGCTGAACACTGAGAATCTGTAGGTTTCAATTCAAGTTACGTGATGATCAGAAAGCAAGCATGTGCGTATTTTAGCCACTTAAGGATACCTTTGTCGCCAATCTGTTGGACATGATTCCTGACAAGCTGTGGGCTAGTGTGTGCAGTTAGGCCCAACATGCAAAAGGCGCAAAAGGCATGAACCCACTCTCTAGAAAACGGTTTTGATGTAGCTTTTGTGGATGCAGCTCTGTAGGAGTCTAAACGAGTACTAAAATATTACTCAAAAAACAGGATCAACAGGGGAAAGAGCAGGTGAAATCCACAGAAGGCACACATCCAAACGGCTTTTCTAGACCCCATGTTCACAATTAGGGCCCAGTTCTAAGTTCACATGCGCCCGCCAACCCGTTTTGACGACATGTTACATCAGTTACATCTCACTTCCTGAGTTCGGCTTCCGACTTGCGTCACTTTTTGGATTTGGGCCATTTTGGCGGCCCAAGAATTGGGTGACTCTTAGGACCAATCCACTCAACTCGAAAAGAGACGTGAGACATAAGCGGCTTTAACGACTTTAACGCGAGGCGAAAGCCTTCGGCCGCTCGCTTTCGAGTTCCCGAGGTCGATCGGCAAGTCTGACGAGAAGCCGCGCGCCATGCAGGCCATGGGCAAAGTCCACTTTATCTACTAGGCCCCCCAGCTGGGTACCCTTTCTCACCGTTTCTGTTTTTGGGGAGGGCAAGCCCCTACTAAAATAGGCTACAGGAAACAAGAAAAGAAAAAAGAACGGTACCAACTTATTCTAACCTCTCAAATCTGGAGGACCTAGTCTAGGAAGGATGCTTTGGGTGTGGCTCAAAATTAAACAACTGGGGCAAACCGCAGGTTTGAGTCTTTGGTTCCATTTGCCAAGGTGCCATTTGGGTACATGTTTTTGACCCACAGACATTTTGAACCAACAAACTGGGAGTCATCTTCATGGACAGCCAACTGGGTGCGTCATTTCAAAAATGGTGAGTCGTCCTTTTTTGGCTTTCCTTTGAAACCACCAAAGCCCTCCCCGAAAACGACAGATCCAAATGGCTGTGGCTCAAAAAACCGGTAGCCAAATGGAACCCTGGTAAGTGGAAACATGGACCAAAACCTGCGGTTTGCCTCTCCTGTTTATTTTTGAGCCACACCCAAATGAGCCTCAAAGAAAACCTAGCAAGGAATAGACAAACTTGGAAGAACAAGGAGTCCTCCAAGGGAGCCCTCGCGATCCCAAGGCCAACTCGATTTCGCCCATTTAGCTTGGTGGCGATTCGCCAGCCATCCGGCTCCTTAGCTTTTCAGCGTGGTTGGTGCTTGAAATTTTCCGAATATTTCACCCACTCAAAGTTTTAAACTTGGCCGGGGATCTGAAAACGCACGGAACGGAGTGTTTGGCCCATTTAAGGTGAACTTCACCTATTTCTGACGGGAAATCTTTCTAGAACTTTGTTGAGGTTCCTTCCGTGAATCTGCAGGCGAGTAAACACCCCTTCAGATGGTCCCAGGCTCACCTTGCCGATCGCCAGGCTGCGCTCACGTTGGTGCTGCAGCTTTTCGAGCCTTTGAGCGATGGAGGCGAGCCTGTGGAAGATGTGCCCCCCAAACCAAACCCCCGAAACCAAACCCCCGAAAAGAACCCCCCCAAACCAAACAAACCCCGCAAACAACAATCCCCTCCCCCCAATATTGTTCGAACAATAACCCCTCCCCCCCTCAAGGTTTAACCGCTTGCGGGTGGCCATGAGAATCCCTCCCTCCCGCAGATGGCCTTTTAACCCACAAGTTCAACTTTTTAGCAGTGGATCTGAAAACTGACAGCCCAGAAGGGTTTTTGCTAACTAAGTTCTGTGGCCGGAGGCGAGTCTTTGGTGGCGGAGTTCCAGCGGAACCGCACCGTGGCCACAGTGCTGACCCTCGGCCGATCCCAGATATCCATTCGAACGATCGGATCCGTTGACCGAGGACGTGCTCTCAAATGGTTTACCTTAAGCGAATTTACTATCTTTGTTGTTAGTTTTTTTGGGGGGCTATTTTGTTGGGGGGGATTTGACGGCCATTTGGGGCCTTGCTGGATATCATGGAAGACCTGGAAAGCCAACCCGCCAGCCTCCGTCCTTTCCGCATGGTTTAAAAGGCGAACCAAAAGGAACCCACTCATTTTGGGGCTTTCCGGTACCCCAAACGTGGCAGGGAACGCAATGGGAAGGCTGTTTGACAAATCCTTCGCTTCGAGAATCAGACCTTCATCCTGGTCGGGTAGGTTTTGTTTGGCCAACGGGGGCTTCCGGAAATCTGAGGCAATTCCTGTCCAGCGTGCCGGTGAAGCAAGGCCTCTTTTTCGCAGGGCTAAGCAAGCCCCTTGTTTCCGAAATGGGCGGCAAAGAAGTGGCGCCCCGCGTGATTCCGCATGGACCCCAAGGTTACAAAGCTGCGACTGAACAATGTTTGCATGTTGGGGGGACGGGCCATGACGGGTCTGGCGGGCAAGAAGCAGCAATCCGACCCAATAGATCAGGAGATGCAGCCCAGGGTAGCACCCCTTCGGGTCTCATGTGCACCTGCTGTACGTAGTCATGTGACAAGCTTACGCCAGGTTTGGAGTGTGTTTTTGAGGCTGCAAGTTTTTGGGATGGCTTAAAGGGGAACCACAAAAGAACACCACCATGTTTGTTTTTTTGTTTTTGTGTGTGTGTGTGTGTTTTCAATCAAATCGCAAGTTGCCTTCAGCATGGAGGGCTTTCCTTGACCTTGTGGGATCTGTCCAGCCAAACACGACTTCAGCCATCCACGTGTTGGGCAGCTGGTTGTGAACGGCTCCCATCGTCGAATGTGGAGTTTCTTTGCAGGGGTGCTGGGGGTTGCAAAAGTCTGTGGCCTCTGTTCGGTCGAAGTTTGAGGCTGCTTTATGGCACATGGCAGGAGTCGATCACCCTGGCGGATTTATTGGCAATTGGCGTCCTGTGTGAAAGTGGACCCTTTCTCCATCCACCAGGCTGAGATCTCATGGGTCGATTCTTAAAAAAAAACGCGGGCGAATCGCGTGGCCAGGTGATGTGTGGTGGCCTTGCTTGTGCTCATCTCTGCATCTTCTTACGGTGCTTGTGCTGGATCACCACCTTTTGGCCTTCGAATTTGTGCAGCACGAAGGCGGCGGGTTTGGGACGCCTTCGTTTTTTTGTTTTGTTTTTTTCCTCGGGGTGGGTTTACCCGGTTTTACCCTCGTATTTGTTGTTTTTCTCGGGGTGGGTTTACCCGGTTTTACCCTCGTATTTGTTGTTTTTTCTCGGGGTGGGTTTACCCGGTTTTACCCTTGTATTTGCTGGCTGGGAGAATTTCATATCCAAAGTTCTTGCTTGTTCAACGTGAGCTTCAGGGGCCAGGGCAGTTCATACGGCAAAGAGCCTGGCGTTGATTGTGGGTGTGGGCTTTCTTGCAGGTCCCCGTTATTTGGTGGTGTCCCTTTCAACCAACCTAAGGAATGGGTGTGTCCCTTTCCCGCTCTTGGTAGTTTTAAAGGGAAGCCACGAGGAAAGAAAACACCTTTGCAGGTCCCCCTTTGAGACTTCCATTTGTTGAAATGAATATGTGTTATTTTCCATTGTTGGTTTTAAAAGGAATTTATCACTGCTGGACATATTTCTTGTTTTTTTCCTCAGGGGTCTTAACCAAATGGAAGGAGACCTTTGAGACAAAGAAATGTCAGGCCTTCAGATGATCAAGGCGAAGCAGCTGATGTCTCTTGAGATGGTGGCCTTTGAGGAGGGTGCGGTGGCCTCTTGGAAAAAATGCTCTCCATTTGCTGAAATGAATGTGTGTTGTATTTTCCCTTTCTGGTTTAAAGGGAACCTATTTCCCTGGGAAATCGTTTTAAACGAATTATTGTTTTATTGTCTCTTGTTGGTTTTAAAGGGGATCAAAATCGCTACTGGAAATATGTTCTCATTTTTTCCAGGCAGCGCAAGCAAATACCCTCTTGTGGAAGGCCGTGGTAAGCTTCGCAAGCGCATTGCTCTTGTTACAGATTAATTCTTGGGTTGCCTCATTTTCCAGCATGGCCAACCGCAATGGTTTTTGAGATTTGCCCCAGGCTGTCACGGATGTCTTAGTGATCCTTTCGCAGCTGGCTCGGCTGCGCCTTGGCACAATCAAGGGTCGAGTTGACTTGTGAGATGTGTGCTTAATGTTGAAACAGAAACAGGACCCGGTCTGTCGCCTGCGGAATTGTTTGCTTGGACCCACTCTTTTTCCGCGAATCGGGTGCCTTTTGGCCACTTGGCTCAAACACACCTCAGAAAATGTCATATATGTCTGTGAACTTCTGTATTTGCCCAGCAAAACGACTTGACATAAAGGAGACCCCACTATTTGATCAACGCCTTGACCCCCAAACCACCAAGACTTAGGGGAAACGAGCCGGAACACTTCAATGGTGTTTCCAGTTCAGCTGGTCCACTTGCTCCGAATGCATCAAGGCGTTGAACATACATGTCCATGTTTTTGTGTTACCTGTTTTTGAGGCAAGTGGCCTGTTTTGGCATCCGACTGCGCCGGATCCCGGGCAAGGTCCCCGGACTACTACCCGCTGCTCCGCAGCCTGGACCTTTGCCCAACGCTGCGGAAGCTGCTGAGCTGTGGCAACCCCGCGGTGCGCGCCAAGTCCTGCAGCGCGCCTCGCTCGGGGAAACTGTCACATGAGCATGATATTACCTGAAGTTACTGGGGTAGACTTAGGATACATTTTTCATCTTACCAGTGACTCAAAGTGAAGCAAACAATAAAATATACATTCTATAACTGGGCCTAACTCTAATCATGGTAAGTGTGGATGCTGGGAACGTTGAAGGAAGGCCAGGGCGAATCCAAAGCAGATTGGACAGGTGAGTGTTGCTGGTCTTGAGGGGTTATTCGATGGTGCTCTCTACTAAGTGGGACTTGTTTGCATGGTGAGCGCCATGTGTTGCAACCCCTTCTCCCAGCCCACCTCCCGGAAAAAGGCAAAAGAGCCTCAACTCAGTGAGACCCACCGGTCAGGGGTTCTGATACGTCCCTTTGTTTCGCACGATTGACCTTTGAGGCCTTCAAAGGTCGTCTCAGAAATGGAGCAAGGTTCCGTTTGAGCAAATCTGAATGTGCACCGGCCGCCTTTGGGGGGCAAGTCGGAAACTAGGGCCGAGCCAACGGCGTTTCACCGGCGTTTGTATAAGACGTGGGTGCGTGTGTGTGTGTGTGTGTGTGTGTGTGTGTGTGTGTGTGTGTGTGTGTGTGTGTGTGTGTGTGTGTGCGTGTGTGTGTGTGTGTTGAGGGTAGCCTTTTGCAGGTTGACAAGAAGGGCCGAAAATTCGAAGCCTATCAGAGAACCTTCCATCAGGCTGGGCAGAAGCAGACCAGTGCCGTGTCAAAGGGGCTTGAGTCTCTTGTGGACAAAAAGGACCTTTTGGAAGCAAATGGATGTGTGTGTGTTTTTTGCGGGTACCCCCTGTTTCGTGGCTTCAAAGGGAAAACAACAAGACTACCTCGATTGTGAAAGGGTCCAACCGTTGTCCAACCCTTGAACCAACAAATATACCCAAATGTCTATTCCAGGAAAACTACAAGTGATCGACCTGAAAAAAACATGGGGGGCTGGCATTGGGGCAATTTGGGGCGGGCGTTTGGCGAAGCGACGAGGCTGTGGGCAACATGGTTCGTCACTCCGACGCCTTCTACGAGGCCATGCTCAAGGCGGGCGAAACGAAATCGATGCGAGGGTGACTCGCTGGTGCGATGGCAGGAACCAAGGTTTGAATGGACCAAGGGGGGGCTATGGGGAGGGGGGGCTATTTTTTTTTTCTGAGGCCTCATTCAGGGCTTATCCTTGGGCTATCCTAGGCTTATGCAGGGATAGCCCCCCCCGAAGATTCCATGATTGAATGACCCCGAGAAAAAACCCATCCCCAATTTGGTTTCCTTTAAGGGAATCCGCGTTCCGGTTCATTCCCAACACCATTCCCTACTGAGCACCAGCAAGATGACCGTCTCGCGAGACATGTGGGTATCGTTTTTGAGGTTGGATCCCTCCAAAATGGCGGTTTAAACCCCTTATACCTATGGTTATGACGTACTTGCAGTATTATCCTATAGACAGAGTAGATACTGACATGTGTACACCACTCAAAACCTGTTACTTTCTTTGGCTTCTCTTCAAATCGGTTTTGTTTGCGTTATTTCGCATTGTTAAGCTATATATGTACACAACACAGACTAACATATTGCGTTGGTTGGGCAGAAGCCGAAGGAATCAGCAGGCATCCCGGTGCTGTGGGATTTCAGTTTTTGTTTTTCAATGTTTGGTTGCTTTGTGGGTTTTGGGACCCCCAGGTACTTGTTCCAAGGATGGGGTTGTTGAGAATTGTTTGGACACACACACACACTTCAAGAAGTCACCTGCTCGAAGAAGCTAACTGCCCTTTTCAACTAAACAAATCCACGAAAAAAGGCTCACCCCACCAAAAGTGTCGATTCTTTTTTTGCGGTCACTGGGCCACTGGAGCAGCTTTCCTTTTGAGGCCCAGTATGGACCACAAGCTAAATGGAGGCAAAAGCTGAGGTGGATGTTTTTTGGTTGAAAAAGGCAGCTAGCTTTTGCGAGCAGGTGAGTTCTCGCGATTCACTTTAATGTGTGTGTGTGTGTCCCAAAAATTCCCAACAACCCCATCCTTGGAACAAGTATTTGGGGGGTATTATTCAGGATCAACATTACCTTCTGATTTAGAGGGTTCGAATCTTAAGCAGGTGGGCCGATGTATCCTACTGGGGCCCTGTTCTCTCCCACTTAGCCTCTTGGCTTATGGGCTCGAAAGAAACCGTTTGGCCGAAAACGAAAAAACCGAAGGGAGCCTCTTGAGGCACGCCTTTCCACCGCCCTCCTCTCAAACTTTTGGGCCCCCACTCAGCCCGCAGCCGACCGAGCTGAGAGGCAGGGGTCATCAAGCAGCTGGTGCAGCTCTGCAACGACTCCGACGGCGCGTGCCGGAAGTTTGCCTCCTTCGCGCTAGGCGCATGGCTTCAAAGCTTTTGTTGGTTGACTGGTGAGGCCGTTTTTGGGGGTTCTTATTCGGCGCCGTTTTTGTTGGGGGCTCGGTGCTCGGCCGTGGGATTTCTGTGGGGGTGTCTTCTTCAGGGCAGCCTTGTCATGGCTCAACGTGAAACCCAGAGGAATGCCACCATACCACCAATTTGGGGGAGTCCCCTGACCCTCATCTTGACGTGTTTTGCTTTGTTTGTTTGTTTGTTTGTTTGTTTGTTTGTTTGTTTGTTTGTGTTGTGGCCGGGGGGTTTCACCTGACCCCGATTTTGGCGCGGGTCGTTTTTTTGCTTGCTTTGTTTGCGCCGGAAGTCGTGGGGCGAGTCTCGCAGGGAACTCGGCCTTCCACTCGGACGTCCTCTACAAGGACTTGGCCGTTGCGGTTCCGCAGCTCCTGCGATTGCTGGAGGACCCGGAGGAGAAGACCAGGGCCAACGCTGCTGGGGCGCCGCTTGGGCCAATTTTTGGGGCGAGAATTTGGGTGTTTTGGGGCTGGTGGGCGGCATTTTGGAAGTTCTTGGGGCGTTTGCGTTGAGAGGCTTTTGCTGGGGGCTTTCAGGGCGTTGTTGGTGCTTGTGGGGGCTTTTTGCGTTTTGGTTCTTGCCAAATATTCCGGTTTGTCGTCTCAACTCTTCCATGGATTTAGCCGCAGCACAGCATCTTTGATTTGTTTTCTTCATCTTTCGGCATCTCTTATGGCCAGCTCACCGATTCGAAGACGAGGTCACCCATGTAGGTCCTTTCCTTGGGGATCCAATTCCTATGGCCGGTTCCTTGGGGGGGTCTGCGCGGGCTTAGTTCTTGGCATTGTGCAGCATGGGACCAACTCAGCCCGGGCGACTCTAGAGCTGGGTAGAACGAGCGTGTGCCGGAACGGGATTCAAAGGCAGTCAGCCATGGCTGACCATAACCCCCGAAAAGAGTCAAATGGCCATGGGTCAAAATCCCGTACCCCGAGTGAACATCCCAATCCCAACTAAAATAGACTAAAATGGGTGGTGCACCGACCCCAAAATGGTGCCATTGGTTGGGACCCACAGCCAAATCACCCCGAGTTGCAAGAAGCCCCTCAGCGCAAGCCCCCTAGGGCCTACATCTTGGCCTGAGCGCTACGGACGCTAAGGATCGGGAACCTGGTGAGGCCGCGTGTCAGCAGCAGGGATACTAGGTACCCCAGCTTGGTGCCCTTTCTCACCCCTTTTTCCCTTTTTTGGTTGGGAGGGTTCCCCTACTAAATAGACTACAGAAAAAAGGGTACCCTTATTCTAACCTCTCTACTGGAGGACCTAGGATAGCTTTTTGAAAGGACCATGGAACAGTCACTTTTCCGGAGAACGAGGGGAAGTCCCAGCCACAATCAGAAAGTGCCCGCATTGTCTTGGCAAGAGCGAAGAACCGAGGCAGGCGCGGTTTAAAGCAGGCAACCAGTGGCAAGGCTGGGTAACCCTTCGTGCTGCAGCCTGCCACTGGAGAAGATATGTCTGCAAAAAAAAGGCGCAGAGTCGGCGATCTTGAGAGTTGGCCATTGGCTGTTTTTAGTATCTGCCAACACGTGTTGCGTGCACCACGGCACTCAGGCTTCGCAGTGGGCACACCAAAAAAGACGCAGAGAGAGAGAGAGAGAGAGGGGACAAGCACCACAATATCTTGGCCAATCTGCCGTGTTTTGCTCCGGCGCTGCTTCATAAGAACCAGCCTCCCCCGGAAAAAGCGAAGCCGAGGAATTCGAGCGAGCTTTGCCCTGTGATGATCTGCGAAGGTGCCCTTGAAGGCACCGAGCTGATGCAGAACCTGCGATTGATGTACTCATGTTCAAGTCTATATCGCCTATACCTGTACCTAGAGTCTCCATGACCCTTTTAAAATGGGGTCAATCCCGAAATAATGGGGTCATGGACCTATTCTTAAAGGGTCATGCAGACTCCAGGTATAGTTAGTTCTAAATGTTTGTATCTTATGCGAGATTCTGTCTCTCTCTCTCTCTCTCTACATTTCTAGGGGTTGATTCCCCATTCTTTTCAACCATCGTTCTTTCCAAGATTTCCCCTGGGTTTCAAAGGAGGTTTTCTAGAAAGATCCGGATCCCTGGATTTAAAATGGAAATGGAAGATATGTCTAGAATATGATGTTCCTAGCAGCTCAGATTATCTCAGATGTTTCTTTTTTGTGCCGATCGAGGTTTCGAATGCTTCCAAGTCACGCGTGTTCAGAAGGTTCAAATCAACCTTCCGGAGACTTGATTACCAAAATTTGCGGATCCCTCCGCGGATGTACTCAATTCGGATTTCCATGGCGGGCTTACACACACACATTTGCCTCAAAAAACCATCCTGACTTGACAAGTCCCTTGAGAAAACCAGGACAAAGGGTGGGCCAAAAATGTTGAAACAACCATACCCAGCTTCCCCCAGATGGCTTTAGCATATTGTTGAAATGAGGGGTTGGCCCCCTTCAAACTTGAAGCCACGAGTTCGAACTTTGCTCGGTTCAGGTCCCTAGGAACCGGGGGGGTTCCCTATGCTTCCCCGTAAAAAAAAAAAATCACTCCTCACTTTTGGGACCACTGATCTTGGGCGAGGGGTAACTCGGATGCCCCAAAGCGAATGGACCTTTTGATCTTTGGGTTTTCCCCTTTCGGGTCTATTTGTTGTAAAGGTTCCAAAGCCTAATCACCTTTTGCATCCAGGTCCGAACTGGGCGTGAGTTAAGGGTTTTCCCGAGGTTCCCCTTTGACAACAGTTCAATCATCACGCTCGGGACCGCCGCTTTTTCCGAGGTGATGGTTAAGGTCGGACCCGACAAACCAGCTGACCAGCTGTTGCAAACTCTATCATTTGGCAAACATCAAGCAAGCTGCAAATTTCCCTTCTGGTGCAAGACCGGGTTGCAAACACACACAAACACACAAACACAGAAAGAAAACACTTTACGTTTCTGCTGATTGTGGTTTAGAGGGAAATCGCCACTTAACCGCTATAATTTAACTTTCTGCTCCCCTTCCAACATCAAGCAAGTAAATAAGTTCAGGTCAGTAGAAACCGGGGTTTTCCCCATGCTTCCCCGCAAAAACTGTTCAAACCTCACTTTTGCGACCACTGATCTTCCTGGGGCGGAGAAACGGTTTCCCGAAAATGCCGCCGTCCGGGTGCCAGGCCTTTGCAACCTCGTGCGGCTCCGCGTCCCAAAGAGCGACGAGGAGGTGGCAAAGTTCGGCTCCGACTCTTCGGCGCGGGGCCCAGAGGTACGTCGGCCGCTGGTTTCGCCGAGTCAACGCTGGGTAAGAGGCGGAGATGTGGTTTCTTACTTCCTGAGCTCCTAGACTTCAAACTGTTTTGGGAAGACCAAATTTTAGTGGCAAGTAAAATGTTGAGACTTTTTTGTCCAATCCACTCAGGAAGTGAATTTTCTTCCCTTGACTCAGCTGGTGGTAGAAAACACAAGGTGCTAGAAATTTGGGGTTGGACGTTGACCATGTCTATACGATGGTCTTGAGCCGAAATAGACCGAATTGCCCCGTAGGCCTTTGTTCAAACTCGAGAACACGTGGCAAAGCTGGATGCGGTCGCCTTGTGGATTGTTGTGGATCTCTTTCAGCTGTACACTTTTTTGGTTTGGTGTCGTAGCCCCCTTGTGTTGAAACACGGGTCCCACTCTAGGGCATGTCTCGCCACCATAGTCAGAGGGACGCCTTGCACGTCCCAGAAGGTCAGAGAAGTGCCTTTGGGTCGCCAGTTCCTCCAGACGCGTCCCGTCTATTTTGCAGGAAACAGGAGTCCGACGTTTGTCGAATACTTCCATTTCGCCAAGAATTGTTTATTTTCCATTATTTTCCCCTATTGGTTTTAAAGGGAATCTATCACTACTGGAACAATTGTTATTTTTCTAGGGGACTTAAGCAAATGCAGGAATATGCTTCTTGAATCGGGGCGTTGTAAATCTTAGGTACTGGTACGCCTCCGCTCAGTGAAATAGCACCTGTGGGAGGTATGCGCCCGATTGAGGTTAAGATTGCCCTGTTCTCACTGGGCAACCTGGCAGTGCATGCAGAATGCCGGACTTCCTTGAGATCCTTGACGCAGGCCCATTTGCTTGGTGCACGTTCTTTGTCAGGGTGAGTTTTTGTTTGCCTGTAACTTGATGTGTTTTGCTTTGCTGGGATAGTTCAGGCGGAAATTCCCCGCCCTCCCTTTGGGCCCCGATTTAGAGAGATGTTCATTGAAGTATGCCATTGGCGTGGCCGCCTTTAGAAAGCTTGATTCCTGGCAAACGATTTTCATTGAAGTATGCGATTGGCGTGGCCGCCTTTAGAAAGCTTGATTCCTGGCAAACATCAAGCGATGACACAACGGAAGGCTTGATTGGGCAACAGCAGTTTGCGGACATCCAGGGGGGGCATCCGAAAGAATGGTGGTTTGGGCAACACCTAGGCTGCATTCCTCACAGTAACTTCTGTTCCCCGGCCATAGGAGACTACGGAATCCCGAAGAGGGGTAGGTACAAGGGGGTTCCCCCCCCCCCCCCGGGACCACCCCCCGTTAGGGGCTCATAAGAATATTGAAGATGCCGCTCGACCCCGAATCGAACCCAAACCATGCCGGGGGTTGCTGTTCGAGTAGCTTCAAGGATGAAGCGAGTGTGAGTGTGCGTGTCTGTGTGTTTGTGTGTCTGTGTGTCTGTGTGTCTGTGTCCATGTGTCCATGTGTCTGTGTGTCTGTGTGTGTGTGTGTGTGATTTTTTGAGGGTACCCGTTTTGGGTTGCTTTACCGCGGAGCAAGCCTTTGATGGGGAACAACTGTTCGCTTTCTGTCCTTGGTAAGATGGATCGGAGACACCTTTGCGCTCTAAAGTGATGGGCAAAGAAGAGCGTTGACAACTCCTACCCTTCCTCCCACTAACATAGCGTTTGTGGGAGTTTATATGCATGGAAGATCGGCTTCCCTTCAAAGGTACCCCACCCTCGGTGCCATGGCAACGTGGGAGTGAGGCTAGGTGGGCTTTTCACTTTGGCCCAGTGGCTTGAAACGACCTTTTCAATCAAGAGCCTTGCTGGTTAGGGTCTCAGCAAGGATTCAGTTGGAATGACCCCAAGAAAACACAATTCATCCTATGTTTTTTTTGATTCGGGAATCCCCCTTCCAGTTTCATTCCCTACCTATCGCACCAGCAAGAAGACCTGCCCCAAGCGTGGGAGGTGGTGCCTTTGTGTCAATATCTCGTCGAGTTGTGCAGCCGCGAGACCGTGGTGCACAAGCAACCTGGCGAGCGAGCGGCTCCGAGTTGCTGGGGCCCGATCGAGTTACGCCCGATCGAGGTCCGTTTCGGACTGAAATGTCACTTGGGTTTGGTTGCCGTTGCCGTTTGAAGCGACTTCTAACCAATCCACGGGGTTGGACGGTTGGACCATGAAAATTGGGGAGCAAAAATGTTGGTTATACCTTTCTGACCGATGCACGAAGTGAGTTTTTGATGCCTGCTTCGGTGGGCCGGTGTTTTGCTTTTCGGGTTTGTTGCATCTAGCTGCCAAGATGTGGAGGGGGAGCGGATGTTTTGTTTTTTAATTGTTTATTTTGGGAATAGGTTAAAGTCAAGAAACAAAGTTTGGTGCGAAAAAACGGGGGACCCCCCTGAGGGGAACGGCATGTTCAACTTGAGGTATGCGCAGCGCTTGTTGCAGAAGCTGGGGGTCTGAGACAGCGCGAGGGGAAAAAAATGCTGCGCAGCCTGCGTCACTTGGTGCCAGTCGAATGCCAATTGGGTGTGGCTCAAAATTGAACAGGAGAGGTTACACAGGTTTTGGTCCATGTTTCCACTTACCAGGGTTCCATTGTAATACCGGCTTTTTGAGCCACAGCCAATTCCCTCTCCCAGTGGGTCCAGGGATCTATAGTAGGCAACCAGGATTTTTGGAAGCCTTCAGGCTTCCCCGTGAAAACAAGCCGCAAGTGCGAACACCCAGATTCTTTGGGCGTTTACGAGTCCGCCGAGCGACGCTGCTCTCGACCTGATCTTTTGCCAGTTGTGGCGGTCGCGGTTGCAGCAGGACAATCCGCTGTGTCCATGTTCCCTGCAAAAGCATAAATAAAGCAACCGGGCTCCTGGATTTGCAAGCACCTTGTCCACCACATGGTTGTTGTTGGGAATAATTTTGCATTTTTGATCATTGCAGTTCAGTGGGACATCCCCACATATCTGCTAAAGTTTAAATCTTTGCTCCCCTTCCATCGTCAACCAAGAACATTGGCGCTAGCTCATTGAAAGAACTCCCCACAAGAAAGCTTTAAAAAAACAAAAAAAGTCAAGTCGCCCACAGTGTTGGACCCGGACAGGGGCACAAGTTTCAAGGCGCCACCGTTGTGCCCAAGCTTTCGGTTTTGCTCCCGAGCACGTGTTTTGTGATGCTGACGGCTTAAAGGGGAACGCAGGAAATATTAGAGTTTTGACACATACCTTGTTGATGTCTTCCAGGGGGATTGACATGTTCAGGCGGTTGGCGGTACGCTCTAAAAACAAAAAGGCACCTCGGCCTTTGGAGGAAACTCTGAGTGTCGATTAGTTGCGGCGCCAAAGAGATGGCTGCAACAAAGATTGTCATGATCATGCCGGTTTTTGCTTGTTGCCTAGTGCTTCCTTGTTTGAATTTACACGCAAATTTGGGATCCTTTGTCATTTGCACGGGTTTTGCATCCACCATTTTGGGAAGCTGGTCTTTGGTGTAACCGTGGACCCGGCCTTTAAATTTCTGTCCCCAAGGTCGGCCTTGTGCTCTGGGAAGAGCAACCCAAGCCATGAGGGAGTTGCGTCCGCCTGCAACCGTTCTGAGGATTGTCCCGACTTGAACTTGCTAATGGGTTGATTCCTTGTCCATTCTTTCCAACCATCGTTCCGGGTTTTCTACAAAGAAGGGTCCCTGGAAAGAATGGGGAAAGTAGCACTAGAATGGTGAGTAGGGAGTGGCCGAGTCTGAACCGGAACGGTGATTCCCTAAGAAAAGAAACCATCGGATGGATGGTTTTTCTTTTCTAGGCGTCAATCCATTTCTCCTTCCCTGACTACCGAACCAGCAAGTGAATTCATAGCCCCTTTTGCGCAGGTCATCGCCATCCACGCGCAAGGTGGATCTTGGGGGGCTCGACGGATGACAACTTAGAGCTGGTCCTTAAGTGAACATGGGTCTAGAAACCAGGTTGGATTTGCGCTTTTTGTGGATTTTACCAGTTCTTCCCCTTTGATCTTTTGGTTTTGGTAATCTTTTAGTGCTCGTTTGGTGTCTGGATCCAGAAAAGCCGCATCCCAAGAAGGGAAAATGGGCGACATTGCAGTCGGCATTCAAAAGGAGGCCAAAGGGAAACCAGCTACATGTAGGGGATGCCTATTTTGAGGTTCTCAAATGTATTTTGCTGAAAACAAACACCATGCAGAGGATAAGATCTTGCCTTCTGGATGCATTCAAGTGGACGACTCAGTCCAACGTGTTCGTTTGCTTTTGATTCGCATTCCCAGGACTTCTTTCTCCCTTAACAGTGGACTTTCTTGATACCAAAGTGCCGTTTTTGCAGTCCCATGGCTTCTTTATCACACAGGGGACGCCTGGGTATCAGAAACTGTCGCAACCAAACATTCCACAGGTGGGAAACCCCTGTTGCAACCTCAGGTCTTCGGAGTCGGCTTCCTACTCTCCCGCCCCTGTGCGGGTTGCTCCAAGATGGGGTAGAAAACTGGTTCTCCAAACCGGAAAACCAAAGGGACACCTTGGAAGAACCGGACAACTCAACCAATGCCTCCAAGGAACAAGACAAAAAACATGAACCTACCCAGGTTTGGCCATTCCGCTACTGTTGTCAGACAATGTGGAGGCACGTGTCCCATAGCCCTGCCTACGAAGTTTCTTTGGTTCGCTCCTTTGGTCCAAGAGGGCTGGAAGATGTCCAGGGGATGAGAAGATTGTTTGCGACCAAAATCAACTGAATGTATACATCCATATGGCTGTGGGTCATCAATAGGTACCCAAAATGGAACCTGGAAAATGGAAGCAAAGACGATTTAACCTGCAGTCCCCTGGTTTCATTTTGACTCATACCCATATACCCGCTAGTTTGTGGGTTAACTAAACGTTAGTTATGGCTTCTTTTTGGGACATCAGCCCCCAACCGAAATGTCGTCGCTTCGGAATGCTTCAGCCTTGTGACTGGGGACTGTCAGGCGAGTCAGGCTTGCCAGGGCAGGGGCCTACGAAATAGCTCCATTGGCTGAAATGCATATGTGTTATTTTCCCTGGTTGGTTTTAAAGGGCATCTATCACTACTGGAAGTATCGTGTTTTTTTTTGGTTTGCAGGGGTTTAAGCAAATGGAAGATAAACCTGAAGAAGCTGCAGTTGTTTGATGGGAAGTTCTCCTTGCGACCCTGCACCTCGGGTTAAACATCCAGCTCATGAACTTACAATGGACTCTTTGGACATAATTTAGGTGGCGGTTCATGTCCAACTTTGGATCTGGTCCCCGTTGAAATCTGTAGGCAAACGAATTCGCATGGTTAAATCTAAGATGGTCACTACCCCCAAACTGCTACTGCCAATGGAAACATGGGATACAATAACAACCATGTAAAGGGAGAAGCACCTTGATGTCCCGGGCGGTTTGGGGTAGTGGACACCAGCCTAGATGAAGCAATGCTTCGGTCTCACTGCCTCGTTGCCGTATTGGCGACCCTTTGCCCTATTTAGATGTTTGCCACCTGATATTGGCAGATCAGGTGAACTTGGCTGATCCACCTAGATTTTTACATGAACCAAGGCACCGACAGATCGGAGTTCAGGGCGTCTCTTCTAAGGGTTTTGGTATACCGGCCTGGGAGTACGCCCACTGGGAAATGACCCCATTCAGGCATATTCAGGCATATTTCCGGGATAAACCCGTGTTGTTTTGACCCATTCTGGGTCATTTCAAAAAGGTGTAATCGAAGGGTGTCCTACAAAGACCAGAAAAGAAACCACCCCGTGCAGGGTGAACTTAACTGATCAACCTAGATTTTTACGCAAAATGAACCAATGCTTCAAGAGCTCTTTCTTCAGGACGCTTCGGTATCTCCCGAACCCAGGGGCTTCGTTGCTCGCAAGTCCGCGAGGCTCAATGCCCGAACCGGGCTGCGGCCCGAGCCGGGCGCCGCGTCTTCGCCAGGAGCTGAGGAAGTGCGCAGGTTCTGCGGGCCAAAAGATCTCCGTGGGGGTTGGAAGGGGCCATGAATCTTTGAGTTGTTTTGAAATTCGCCTGTTCTTGCCTGGTTTTGCCGTTCTTTTCTGTGTTGTTTGGTTTGTTTTGGTTGTTGTGGGTTTGCTTGGTTCTTTCGATGCTGGAACAGAACCTGCGTCTCATCGCTTGACCACCAAAAGGATGATGATGAATTTTCAGGGAGCCATGACCAACCATGGCCAGATTGGGAGATGCCTATTGGTAGGTGGTGTTACTACCTGGTTTAGTTGGGGCACAGTAAAGCCTACAACAAGCTTTGCAACAATTTAATAGCATCACCCCATTTTGAACATCCCAAGAAGCACCTTTTTAGTTGAGGTTGATAGGGATGGTCGTCAGCCCCTGGACTCATTTGAGAAAAGCCTGCCACAGACCCATGTCAGGAGTGTTTTGACACTGGCTTGTAGACTCACTTCCCAGGTCCTGCCTTCCAGATGTGACTCCTTCCAGATGTGACCTGCCGGTCCCGCCCTTTTGTTTCAAGCGGGTTACTAGGGAAGACGATGCATCGGGGGGATCATCACTGGGTTGACCCCGGATTTTTTTTTAACTGTTGAATACTCCCCGCCAAAAGTTTTCAGGGTTTTTCAATTGACCATCCGTCCTTTCGGAATGACTTATGAGACCCAACAGCCTGAAGCCAAGCTCTCAGGTCCTGCCTTAGCCAGCTGCAAGCCAAACGCCAAATTCAGTGGATCCTGGCAAAGCCCTACAGACAACCAGGATGTTGTGTGTGTGTGTGTGTTTTTGTTTGTTTGCTTGTTTGTTTGTTTGTTTGTTTGTTTGTTTGTTTGTTTGTTTACTGTTTACCTGATGACTTTTCTGGCTTTAGGCTATAGGCATTATAGGAGTAAATGGAATCATAACTTTACGGCACCTGAGGCTGATCTATGCTGTGCCATGGCTGCTGCTCAAGAAGTGCACCGATCTCGGATTTGCGTGCCAACTGGAAGGGCTGAAAGTGGCTTTTGGTTTAAACATCACGCTTTTGAGCGATAGGCGATGTTTCTTTAAGCATGGAGGGACGTAATTATGTAAAACCATGCCAATGGGAAGCATCAAGAACCCTGCCCGTCTCAGTTGATTGCATGTTGGCTTGCTAGATTTGAAGAAGAAAATCGCCTGGTTGTGTCTCAGCTGTTTAAAAAGTCAAAGGAGATGCTTTTCTTGGGCTGCTTCACTTGGAGACTTACCGAAAAGAAAGAAAAACACGGGCTTCTCATCCCCAACTAATGAACAGGCAATACTGAGGGGCAGGATTACATTTATCCGATTTTAGACCTCAGTCTAAAGACCTCCAAAGGCAAACACCAGAAGTCTGATGCGCGGTGGGCCGTGCAAATGGAAACCCGCCAGTTGAGATAATCCAAGTTGATTCCTTTTCTTTTCGTTTTCAGGGGGTAACAACTCGGGTGTAGGTATTTCTGGGCGCAAGCAACGTCTTGACGTACGATTGAAC